ATGTGAGGGTAAGGGTGGAGGGGGATGTGGGTGGTCCCCCCTCCCCCCCTGCCGTCCGCCCGCGCCTGCCAGGTCCCCGTTGGAAGGGGGCGGGTTGTTGGGCTGGTGGCTTTTGTAGGGCTAGGGGGAGAGAGGGTTGTTGGGTGTGGGGCACGTCTGTGAGTGGTTCTGGTGTGTGCGCCCTTCTTACCTTGTGGTTCTGGTCAAGATAATGGCTCAGGTAGGTGTGGCGTTCAGATGGGGTGTTTAGGTCTGTGCGGTTGAGGCCAATTTCGGGTTGTTCATGTCCCAGGGGTCCCAGGTTCGGTGGAACGCGTTAAATGAGTCGTGTATCTGTGCGGTTAATTCGTCCAGGTCGCAAGTTTCTTTGATCTTGTTGATAATAGTCGAGATTGTGGGAATTCGGTGGTCTGCCCAGCGCTCCGCGATTGCCCTTCGGGTTGCCAGCGTTATCCTGGCCGCTAGTTTGTATTTTTGCTCCTGGTGAGGGAGTCCAGCGGTTTGTTGAGTAGCATCGTCCATGGGTGCGCAGTAATGGGTTTGTTGAGAATCTGTTCTATGAGGCCGCACATTTCCGTCCAGAGTGGCTTAATTTTGGGGTAGTTCCACCAGCAGTGTAGGTAGGAACCCGTTCCACCGCACAGTCTCCAGCATAGGTTGTTGGGTTTTCTGCCCATTTTGTGGAGTCTGAGCAGTGTCAGGTACCAGCCGAATAACGTTTTGTATGCTTGTTCTTTGTGGGTAACGCATACTGTCAGGGAGTTCGTTGCTTCCCAAATTTCTGCCCAGTCGCTTGATTCCTCCGGTGGTCCAAGGTCTCGCTCCCATAAAAAATGTGTTTTAATTCATGTGATCCACATATAATTTAGCCTCTTTACAAAACAATGGTAAGACCCCACCTTGAATCTATGGTACAATTTTGGGCTTCCAAACAAGAGGTCACCCATTGGAAGAAAGGCATTTTTGCTTAAAGGACCACTATAGTGCCAGGAAAACATACTCGTTTTTCTGGCACTATAGTGCCCTGAGGGTGCCCCCACCCTCAAGGTCCCCCTCCCGACCGGCTCTGGAAGGGGGAAAGGGGTTAAAACGTACCTTTTTCCAGCGCTGGGCGGAGAGCTCTCCTCCTCCGATCCTCCTTCTCTCCTCCCCGTCGGCTGAATGCGCACGCGCGGCAAGAGCTGCGCACGCATTCAGCCGGTCACATAGGAAAGCATTCATAATGCTTTCCTATGGACGCTGGCGTGCTCTCACTGTGAAAATCACAGTGAGAAGCACGCAAGCGCCTCTAGCGCTGTCAATGAGACAGCCACTAGAGGAAATAGGGGAAGGCTTAACCCATTCATAAACATAGCAGTTTCTCTGAAACTGCTATGTTTATGAAAAAATGGGTTAACCCTAGCTGGACCTGGCACCCAGACCACTTCATTAAGCTGAAGTGGTCTGGGTGCCTAAAGTGGTCCTTTAACGCAGAGGAAAGGGTTCTTTACCAAAGGAATTCTCTGCCTAGAAAGAGATTGTTTATCAGATTCTATAGATATATTTAAAAAAGACTTGGATGCTTTTTTGAATAAACAGAATATTAAAAGATATAAGTGATGTGTATGTAAACAGGCTGTTGATCCACATAGAAATCGAATTGCCATTGCGGAGTCAAGAAGGATATTTTTTCCCCTTTTTGTGGCATAATTGGAAAAGACTATAGTTGTTTTTTGTTGTTTTTTCTTTTGGATCAACAGCATAAAGGAATGGGCTTCATGGTTTCAACCTAAACAACTATGTAACCCTAAATATTCACATTGCACACCCCCAGCCCCCGCCATCAACACCTAGATGAAATTAGGAGAATTGCAAAAAAAAGAAAATAAATTCAGAATGAGGTGCCTGACGGTTGACTTTGAACATGGTCTAGGGACATTGCAATGAGCTGCTTGTCAAAGCTGTTGGTGCAGTTTAACTAATCGTGCTTCTTTTTTTTTCCTTTTTCTTTTTCTTTTACCCTTTCTTTTTCTCTTCATTTCCCTATCTCCACAACATTTTTTTTTCTCTTTTGAACAACCTGACATCTCATCTTTCCTTCTCTTTCAACCAACTAACAATCCCAATAATCAACCTTCTCGCTGAACCTGCCCCTCATTTATAATCCTTTAAATGCCCTCTCCACTGCCCACCTTCCCCCTCATTATCTCCTCTCCTTAGAGGCTAGTGGAAGCTGCGGAAGAAGCTGATTTGAATCACGAGTTTAATTCCTCTTTGGAGGTGAGTGTTGTGAGCACCTGGGCCATAATACAGAATAGGCTTGATTTGTTTCTATTAAGTGTCTCAATGAGCGGGTAAAAGACCTGGGTTCTAATATGTGGGGTTTTATTTATTTATTTATTTTAATTCCGCAAATCCTTTAAGGCTCCACTGTGATAGTTATAATTTATAAACATAATCTTATTGCTATGGAGAGATTTAATGAACCCGTGCTGAACAGGAAATAACTGTAAATTTGTCACTACCTTAGTAGGTACATTGCACGGTGTTTACTGGTGTGTTTGCAAGGTAGACGAGATAACAGAATACAGAGGTTTATTATTACTTTATTTATAAAGCACCAATAAAGCGTACTGTACATACTCTTCAGCACTGTACAATGTTTGTTTGCTGAAAATTGATTTTCACCTACAGTATTCAGTAGATAGAATTTAGTTCACTGTCTGCTAACTCAGTGTTACCAAGTCCAGATTTACTTCAGATTCATTGAACCTGGATTTGTGTGTGCCCCTCACTGGAGTTATTTGGTGTGGCATTCAGAGCACTTTGCACTAATTACCCAGGGGCCAAATTACCAAAGTTAAAAGTTGAACTGTCTATTCTAACCACAACTTTTTTTTTCATTTTAGTTGTTATGGTAGTATTAGTGTTGTGGTGCCATCTCCTTTTTTGTTGTTTTTGTAGCAGTTTAACAAAAATAGAAAAACTCCTTGGCACTCATTGTCCTTCCCTTTGTTTAAGGGCATCTGTAGTGCCAAAATAACATTTTGTAGGCCTGAAAAGTAGGAAAGGCATGGCCCAAGTGTGGTTGAGAGAGAGAGAGAGGAACGAAGAGGGCAGGATTATTTACTTAGCTAGTTAATCTTGTCAGTAAAATGGCATGCAAAACAATGAGCTGAAAAGGTTAGTTTGGGGTGTGGCAACAGCAGGGCGAAGAAGAGAGTTCAAGGTGTTAAAGCGACGTCTAGGCTTAAGGGAGTATGAACTAATGAGAGAGAAAACGTATGACTATTTAGCAAGGGTGAGGGCTGCACTTTAAGAGCACAAGAAGAATTTATAATGGAGAAATTCTCACAAGGTGTGAGACTTCCTCCAGTAGCGTTCAGCTGAGCGGGAGAATCTTTGCAGATAGCGGGTTGACTTAGTGTGTCACAGTTGGAGGCGTGTCCTCCTTGAGGTGCATGTTTAGAGCGGGGCTGCAGCTTCCATGAGACCTGAAGAATATTATGTGCTGGTAACTGCCAGAGTAGTTTACTGAAATGACATGGGCACTAATTTTTGTATCCTGACTTAGTGGATAAACAACTGACTTAAATGAGCCCTCCAAGTACCGATCACTACATATCACTGTAGTGGTTATGGTGCTGAGTGTTGTAATTGGTCAAATTATTTTATAACAGTTTGACTTTTTAGCTGGGGTCCACTGGGTGATTCTCCCTGCAAGCAAAAGTGAGAGCCGTGAGCCTCTGTTAGCTCCCCTGAGCTATACCTTTCCGTGCACGGCTAGCTCATTCACTGAGAGCGATAAGCTGACACTCTCAGCCATTGAGCTAGCCATGCATCACTTAACTTACCTAAGGGTAAGAGTTTCCTGCTTTCACTGAACTGTAGTGAAGTGGGCCACAAGTGAGCAATATGTGATATATGTTGCCATGGAAAGGTTTGTTTACGTCGGCACACAAACTATACCAATGACAATTTGTGCTTTCATCTGTATGTTCATTGCTCTGTTCCTGTATGTTTACATATATGTGTCAGTGGTCTGAATTTTCCAAAAGTATCCTAAGAAATTGAGAACTGTTTTTTGGGCAAGCTACATTGAAATATATCTAGATTTCTGGTTTATCACTTGATTCACTAAACACAAAATCATATATGTAGGACTGTGAAAATCTTGATGCAATGAAACATGATTTAGGCAACAAGGCCAGTTTGTCTATTAAAAGTCACGTTATGCAGTTCTAAATATGTGTTATTTATTTGTTGATTTATTTAACATGATTTCATGCTATAATATTATTTGAGTTGTGAAATACTTGTAAATTGATGGTACAATTTCCTCTTTGTGGAATACCTTCAAAAATGAGTAATAATGAGTGAACAGTTACATACATCACTGCCAAATGTATCTCTTGAATAAGCAATTGCCGCATCAAATGATTATATACAAAAAAAAAAATGAGTTGTAAATTGAAAACCCAATTGGAAAAATTGTCCAACTCCGCTGCAGTCAGAGCTTTTAGCCTGCAGTTTGGAATTGGTTTTCATTTACTATAATTTGCTGTTTAGTGAATAAATGGTGACGATTGGTGTTTAATAGACAAGACCCAGTGTTATGCGCAAAACAAACCTGTGCCTTTATCCATCTAATCCCATCTATCCCTCTGTATCGCTTACAACCTATCCCTTTGTATCACTGCCCATTCACCTCTCTGTATCTCTTCCTATCTATCACTCTGTATCTTTTCCCATCCACCCTTCTGTATCTCGTTCTCACTATCCCTTTGCATCACCTCTCATCCATCCATCTTTATCTCTTACCATCCATTCCTCTGTATCACTCTTTCTATCCATCACTCTGATTCTCTTTTCATCCATCCCTCTGCCTCTTCCCATATATTAATTTTCATGTTTTTCTGTGCTTCTCTCATGCAAGCGAAGTGATACAGAGGGATATAGGTAAAGGCATGCAGAGGGATAGATAGGAAGAGATACAGACAGATGGGAAAACATACCAGAGGATGGATGAAATGCTTGTTGTCGTCTTGTTGTCTCTGTTGTGTCAATTTGTATGTTACCAAGAGCATGTAAGTAATGCCAATGCAATGTGCCATTTGTTTTTTTATAACCCAATATCGTATCTCCTTTTTGTAGTTTGAATACTATAACTCAGTGCGAATTAATGAGAAGGATGAGTTGGATAATTATGTGGAGCTTGGGAAAGAGTTCATTCTTGAGGCAAACGAGCACTTTAATAATCTGAGGGTGAACACAACCCTCAGTAATATCCAGCTTCCCACCAATGTCTACAATAAAGGTGAGGGTTTCTGTGGTCTCATGCTGGTGGGTCTGAAGTCTGCTTATCACACTACGGTATCAATCAGGACTTTAATATTGTAAATTGTATATGCATCTTTGAATCAACATATAATACATTTATAACACGTGTTCTAATTATATTTTTTATTTGTTTAGAATTTTTTTTTTCACAAGCCCAATCTTAAAAATTAGAAATGTTCAAACAAACACTCAAAATAAATAATCCTTAACAAACACCCTCACTTTTTGAGAATTTTAAGCATTCTTATCATTGCAGTGTTTAAATGTTTTCCTTCTGACTTTTCTCAGTGATACAAGAGTTAATGATAATCTTTCCCCTGTACAGACCCTGACATTCTGAATGGTGTTTACATGTCGGAAGCACTGAATCCCATATTTGTCGATAATTTTCAGCGGGACCCCACGCTCACCTGGCAGTACTTTGGCAGTTCCACTGGCTTCTTCAGGTTGTACCCAGGTGACTACTAATTGTCTATGCGGTATCTATACTATCTGGTTACCAGTCTGGTTTACTCTGGGACTAGTTACCATATATACCAGGGGTAGGCAACCTTCGGCACTCCAGATGTTGTGGGTTACATCCCCAATAATGCTCTTACACCCATAATGCTGGCAAAGCATCATGGGAGGTGTAGTCCAAAACATCTGCGGTGCCAAAGGTTGCCTATGCCTGATATATACCCTATAGTTGGTATAACTATACTGCTAGTGTCTGTACTGATTCGCTAGTATGTACACCGGTATGATTGTTCACTAGTATGTATATTGATATGACTGCTAGCTAATCTAGTTTGTTGGTATGACTGCTTGGTATACTATATATTGGTATTAAAGCTCACTAGAATGTATATTAGTTTGACTGTTTACTAGTCTCTATATCGGTATGATGGTTTGCTAGTATGTATTTTAATGACTTTGCTAGTTTATATATATATATATATATATATATATATATATATATATATAATGGTTTACTACTATGTATGGACATGACTTACCAGTCTGTATTTTGGTATGACGGTATGTTAACGTGTACATTGATATTATTATTATTGTTATTTGCTAGTATGTATATTATTATGATATTGATATTACTAGTTTGTATATTTGTGTGATTAGTATAATGTCTTACTGGTCATTATATTGTATTGTTGCTCAGTAGTGCGCATATTGATCCACACCTCCACGGAGGAACAAATCACTGTGACATTTTTTCTGTCTTCATTTTTTCTCAAGGACTTTTAAGGTGTTTATGGGTGCATGAAATGTAACTTACTGTCATTTATCTATACGCTACAGTAAACATTACATTTAGAGTGTGGGAAATAAACTGCTTTCTTTCATAATTTAATCATACGGTCAACAAAAAGGAGTGTATGACATGCAGGGTGCAGCAGACAGTGTGCTTGTGGTGACACATTATTTTACATAGTCTTCCTTATTTTTCTGTCCTGCAAGCTGTGGCTCCTAACTACTAATAGGCAGATTGGAACGATTGTTTAGGGAATATGATGACACATTTACCTTAATGTTGGTAATGTTAAGGTGGAACTGTTAATCAGAGCTTGTCTAATTCAGGTATTAAATGGGTACCAGATGAAAATGGAGTGATCTCGTTTGACTGCAGGAATCGGGGCTGGTAAGAGTTATGCATTAAGCTTATCACTCCACCTTCCCTTCCAGCTCTGCATTTCACTCCCCCTTCCTATTTATTTCTGTGCATTTTTGATCTTCATTTTCCATATGTTTCAGGTTTAGTTTCCATCCTTTTTTGTCATTCTCCTGCACAATTTATTTAGCGATTTACCCCATTTTCTGTGTTTTCACTATTACAGTTCCACTCACCATCAATTACATTTTATTCCACTCGCTACGACTATTACTACTTCACTTTATCACCCATCCCCTTTTCATCCACTAGCTATGACTATTATTCATTATTCCACATACAATCTACATTCTTTCCATCTCTTGTGGCTATACATTTTCACCAACAATGTCTCATTATTCCCGTTACTGTCCCCATTCCTTTCTACTAACTATGCCTCATTCCATTCATCATCCCCATTCCATTCTACTAGCTGTACCTCACTTCATTTACCATTCCCATTCCATTTTGCTAGTTATAACCCATTTCATTTTACCAGCTGTTTCTCGCTCTATTCCTCATTCAGTTCTAGTAGCTGTGCTTCATTCCACTCACCATCCACATTCTATTCTGCTAGCTGTGCCTCATTCCAATTACCATCCCCATTCCATTCTACAAGCTGTACCTCACTCCATTCCCATCCCATTCTTGTAGCTGTGCATCATTCCACTCACCATTCATAATTCCATTCTGCTAGCTGTGCTTCATTCCACTCACCATCCCCATTACATTCTACTGTGTCTCACTCCACTCACCATTCCTATTCCATTCTACTAGCTGTACCTCATTCCACTCACCATCCCCATTCCATTCTACTAGCTGTGTCTCACTCGACTCACCATGCATCATTCCATTCTACTAGCTGTGCCTCATTCCACTCACCATCCCCATTCCATTCTACTAGCTGTGTCTCACTCGATTCACCATTCATCATTCCATTCTACTAGCTGTGCCTCATTCCACTCACCATCCCCATTCCATTCTACTAGCTGTGTCTCACTCGATTCACCATTCATCATTCCAGTCTACTAGCTGTACCTCATTCCACTCACCATCCCCATTCCATTCTACTAGCTGTGCCTCGCTCCACTCACCATTCATCATTCCATTCTGCTAGCTGTGCCTCATTCCATTCACCATTCCCATTCCATTCTACTAGCTGTGCCGCATTCCACTCACCATTCATCATTCCATTCTACTAGCTGTACCTCATTCCACTCACCATCCCCATTCCATTCTACTAGCTGTGTCTCATTTCATTCACCATCCCCATTCTCCTAGCTGTGCCTCATTCCACTCACCATCCCCATTCTCCTAGCTGTGCCTCATTCCACTCACCATTCATCATTCCATTCTGCTAGCTGTGCCTCATTTCATTCACCATCCCCATTCCATTCTACTAGCTGTGCCTCATTCCATTCACCATCCCCATTCCATTCTAGTGGCTGTACCTCATTCCATTCACCATTCCATTCTGCTAGCTGTGCCTCACTCCACTCACCATTCATCATTCCATTCTACTAGCTGTGCCTCATTCCACTTACCATCCCCATTCCATTCTACTAGCTGTGCCTCATTCCACTCACCATTCATCATTCCATTCTGCAAGTTGTGCCTCATTTAATTCACCATCCCCATTCCATTCTACCAGCTGTACCTCATTCCATTCACCATCCCCATTTAATTCTACTAGCTGTACCTCATTCCACTCACCATCCCCATTCCATTCTACTAGCTGTGCCTCATTTCATTCACCATCCCCATTCCATTCTACTAGCTGTGCCTCATTCCATTCACCATCCCCATTCCATTCTAGTGGCTGTACCTCATTCCATTCACCATTCCATTCTGCTAGCTGTGCCTCACTCCACTCACCATTCATCATTCCATTCTGCTATCTGTGCAACATTCCATTCACCATCCCCATTCCATTCTACTAGCTGTGTCTCATTCCACTCACCATTCATCATTCCATTTTACTAGCTGTGTCTCATTTCATTCACCATCCCCATTCCATTCTACTAGCTGTGCCTCATTCCACTCACCATCCCCATTCCATTCTACTAGCTGTGTCTCACTCCACTCACCATTCATCATTCTATTCTACTAGCTGTGCCTCATTTCACTCACGATCCCCATTCCATTCTACTAGCTCTGCCTCATTCCACTCACCATTCATCATTCCATTCTGCTAGCTGTGCCTCATTCCATTTACCATCCCCATTCCATTCTGCTAGCTGTGCCGCATTCCACTCACCATCCCCATTCCATTCTACTAGCTGTGCCTCATTCCACTCACCATTCATCATTACATTCTGCTAGCTGTGCCTCATTTAATTCACCATCCCCATTCCATTCTACTAGCTGTACCTCATTCCATTCACCATCCCCATTTAATTCTACTAGCTGTACCTCATTCCACTCACCATCCCCATTCCATTCTACTAGCTGTGCCTCATTTCATTCACCATCCCCATTCCATTCTAATAGCTGTTCCTCATTCCACTCACCATCCCCATTCCATTCTACTAGCTGTGCCTCTTCCACTCACCATTCATCATTCCATTCTACTAGCTGGCTCACTCCATTACCATTCATCATTCCATTCTACTAGCTGTGCCTCATTCCATCACCATTCATCATTCCATTCTGCTAGCTGTGCCCAGATTCCATTCTACTAGCTGTACCTCATTCCATTCACCATCCCTATTTAATTTACTAGCTGTACCTCATTCCACCCACCATCCCTATTCCATTCTACTCAGCTGTGCCTCATTTCATTCACCATCCCCATTCCATTCTCAGCTGTGCCTCGTTCCACTCACCATCCCTCATTCCATTCTACTAGCTGTGTCTCACTCCACTCACCATTCATCATTCCATTCTACTAGCACTCTCATTCCACTACCATCCCCATTCCATTCTACTAGCTGTGCCTCATTCCACTCACCATTCATAATTCCATTCTGCTAGCTGTGCCTCATTTAATTCACCATCCCCATTCCATTCTACTAGCTGTACCTCATTCCATTCACCATCCCCATTTAATTCTACTAGCTGTACCTCATTCCACTCACCATCCCCATTCCATTCTACTAGCTGTGCCTCATTTCATTCACCATCCCCATTCCATTCTACTAGCTGTGCCTCATTCCTCTCACCATCCCCATTCCATTCTACTAGCTGTGTCTCACTCCACTCACCATTCATCATTCCATTCTACTAGCTGTGCCTCATTCCACTTACCATCCCCATTCCATTCTACTAGCTGTGCCTCATTCCACTCACCATTCATCATTCCATTCTGCAAGTTGTGCCTCATTTAATTCACCATCCCCATTCCATTCTACCAGCTGTACCTCATTCCATTCACCATCCCCATTTAATTCTACTAGCTGTACCTCATTCCACTCACCATCCCCATTCCATTCTACTAGCTGTGCCTCATTTCATTCACCATCCCCATTCCATTCTAATAGCTGTTCCTCATTCCACTCACCATCCCCATTCCATTCTACTAGCTGTGCCTCACTCCACTCACCATTCATCATTCCATTCTACTAGCTGTGTCTCACTCCATTCACCATTCATCATTCCATTCTACTAGCTGTGCCTCATTCCATTCACCATCCCCATTCCATTCTACTAGCTGTGCCTCACTCCACTCACCATCCCCATTCCATTCTACTAGCTGTGTCTCACTCCACTCACCATTCATCATTCCATTCTGCTAGCTGTGCCTCATTCCATTCACCACCCCCATTCTATTCTCTGTTCAACTACATTTACTTTTTCTTTTCCTCAGAAATAACTAATTTCTTTCTCAGTGCCTTTCTCCTATTTTTCCCCTTTTTCCATTTGTTATTCATGCCTCACACTCTCATTTATTTTTCTCTGTGCTTGCCATACATTTCTTTATGTGTCTATAATACTTCCACATATTATCTGTTTCTTTCCTGTTCAGTTCTATGTTGTCTTCAAGTCATTTCTCTATAAGTCTCTTCATTTATATTTACATGCCATCCCCACTTCCCTATGGTCTTCTCTATTCATTCCTCCGCACCTCCCCATTAGTTTACCCATGGCCTTCCCCATTAAATTGTTCCTCCTCATTCATTTATCAGTGTTCCTCGTCTTCTATCTTTGTGACCTCGGCCATCACTCTATGTTTTATGTATTAGTTGCTCTGTCATACCTTCTCTCTACTCTTCTATTCCATTTCTTTTTTGTTATTATGTTAATTGTCATGCTTTTTGCAGTGATTTTCTTTCTGCATATGAATTACATTTTGAATAAAGTACGCTTTGCCTTTTTAGTTATTTCTTTAGCTTTTCTTGTGATTTTTGGGCCATAAATAAAATGCCGTCTCTCTGTTTATAAATAGTTGTATAATTTTAGCTACTAGCTGTATTTACTAGGCATGCTGCTGATGATGCAGTTATATTTTCTCACTGCAATAAATATTAAGGTTTGTTTGCAAGAAAAGAACTTGCAAAATGAACTCCATGACATGCTCTGAGCGACAGGTATCATATGTTTGAAGTTCTAAATTAAATGATCTAAAAGTAGTCGTTGTGTGCAGTGCCAGTTGTTTGTTTTTTTTTGTTAAATAATTTTTGCGTGGTTTTAAAAAAATGTGGAGCTTTCCCAGCATCCATTATCCAGCCCTTTTGCTCTGCTTAGATAAGCAAAAATATGATATTTGCAATAAATATATAGATATTTCCACATTTGCATGGCAGAGATGCAAGCACTGTGTTTGCCTGCCCCCATTACTCAAAGGCTGTCATTGATTGGAGTACATTGGACAAAGTGACAATCCGTGGCATCAGAGGAGCAAAGTTTTTGGGTACTGGGGACAGATAACCAGGAGATGGCAATCAAAGAATCATTGCCCTATGACCACTACAAGAAGCCTTAGTTGTTAAGCTCCTTAATCTCTGGAGCCCTAGTGGGCAGTAGAGCCTTGGTACACTTGCAAGCCGTATCTCCCTGCTCCCCAGAGTTTCTCTTGACTGTTTATCAGCTGTTTAGAAACTATAAAACTATCAACATGTGACACTAAGGCCTTGGAAGCACATTTATTGGCTTTTTTTTTTTTTTAAGTCATCAAAAAAAGATAAATAAAACAAAGAAATAAATAAAGAAAAGTCATACTAGTATGAGGGGGTCAATGTGATTTCCCCTTATTTTATTAGTGATACAATACCTGCCCAGTAGCTAGTCTTTTATGATAGCTATTTAGTAGACATGCCCTATACCGAGGGCATAAAGTAGATTTTAAGTTTCCCTTATACTTATGTGGGGGGTCCCTTTGACCCCCATATGCTCTTTTTAACTATTTGCCCCCTAGGTCTGACAGCAGGCAAATAGTAAAAAAAAAAAAAAATTATAAATTTGATAAGCTCATTTAATGGTATCTACACAGTAATTAAATTGATCTGAAATTTAAAATGGCTTATTTGTTGGAATATAATCAAGTCCTTAGTAAGGTACAGGAAAAAAAATACCTAAATAAGGGGATGAGAGGGCTGGAATGGGATAAACTATTTATTAGACTTTCTAAAGGAACATGAACTCCTAGTTACCCTATATCACTCTGTTATATTTCTCACACTTTTAACTTTGTTGCATTTTTCTTTCTGTTGAAGGTACATACAGGCTGCCACTTCCCCTAAGGACATAGTGATTGTGGTTGACATAAGTGGAAGCATGAAGGGGCTAAGGATGACCATTGCCAAACACACAATCAGTACACTGCTGGATACGCTGGGGGAGAATGATTTTGTGAATGTAATTGCTGTAAGTCTCATCTTTTATGCAGAATTTATAGAATTAGTTTTTGCAGGGTGTGTGAGCCAGTAATTTTGTTTCAGCATACCTGTAGACTCAATATTCATCTAGCTTAGGGGTGCCCAAAAAGTAGACCCCCAGATGTTTTAAAACTACATCTTTCATGATGCTTTGTCATTCTAATGGCCAGCAAACCATCATGAGAATTGTAGTTCTACAACATCTGGGGATCTACCATTTAGGCACCCCTAGTTTAGCGGCACGCAGACATAAACTGTAAGGTTGGTAACAATCTTTATGTGATACATGTATGAGACGTTTAGCAACCTCATAGTAAAGATTGCATCTGTTTGATAATGTCTGTTTTTGTAAGACACTGATTAATCAATTACTTTCTTCTGTTTATGGAATATAAAGTATGCTTGACATTCCATAAACAGAATATGTACTTGTATATATAACACTGTGCATTAAAAATAGATTGAAATAAAACAGCAAAAATATGTATTTATTAAAATAGAAACATAATAATTACTTACCATGATTTTCTTTTTCTGGGTTTCATCCATGTCAGTAATGTCAGTATTACCTATAGGTTAGTTCCTCCCTCTCAGCTCATTAGGACAGGAATATTCAAATTACATAGGTTGTTCCTATACAACAGTTTGGTAAATAAGCACTCCAAATTATAGTATTCTGTGATGCTGACATGAATGATAGATGGCAAAAGAAAATTACAATAAGTATTTTTTTTTTTAAAGTTCTTTTGTTCTGGCTAATCCATGTCAGCATTATCTACGAGATTTCAAAAGCTAATCGTTGGTGGGAGAGAAAAAAAACAACCAATATACGGCCAAAAACCATTTAGTTTATTAAGTAGACATGACTGAAGATAAAACAAACACTCCATGCAAAGAAGGATGCAAATATAATATCTCGTTGGCAGTGCCTTGATGACAACCATGATGCTGCTTTATATATCTTATTTCTAGTATTTGTGGAAGCCTCTGCCAAAGATGCCCAGGATATCGAGACAAACCGGAGTTAGATTTAATACCTTCTGAAATAGACTTCCACACCACTTTGCAGGCTTTTTGAATTTTAGGCATACCGGTAATTCATCTGGTACTGGTTGAGGTAGAGGTAGTTGACGAAGGTGCACTACTATAGCACCGAAACGCGCGTCGGGTTGAAGGATTTTTTCCTTCACTTTTTCACTCTTTCTCACTTATAGGGCACTGTATCACCATGTGCAGGTAACCAACGCTCTAAGTATGGTTCTGCACATTAGTATGATTTTATTCTAACACTTTAATTTTCTTTCTTTTCCTGTCACTCCTATATGTGTGGTCTACTGTGATTACTATTATTATTATTTCTTTGATGGCTATTTGCCTGGAGACGGACTATGGTAATTATATAATTTTTGTGATAGAAGTTCATATACTAGCAAGCACTTAGCCGACAAGTTAATAAGTTGGTATTTGACACATATCCTATTCACACAGTTACGGTTTTTTGCTAACCGGCAAGTGTTTCATTTCTATTGCTCAGTCATCTGTACTCTATAGGCTATTTTGTAGCAACAGTAGTTGGATACTATTATTAGAGGGATCTTTTTGACCCTCTTTATCTTTGCTACTTAATAGTTATACTATACTTTTTTAGCTACCATTAAGTCTGATCTGTTGACTTGATTTATTTATTATTATTATTTTTTCTCTTTAGACCACAGGAGTTTACTATAAGGCTCTTTGAATTTTATGCATATGTTTTAGACATGGACAATTTTAGTTGATTATATTAAAGTCCTGCGTTCAAACAGAAAATTAATGCTTAAGAGTCCTTTCTAGACAGGAAAATAGCCATTAGGCTACGTCTATTCACTTTGTTCCATATATGAACACTCTATAGATTTTTACGATTCATCTTATTATTGGTCATATTTACTTATTCGCTTTTCGATCTTCCAGTTCATTCTTGTTTCTGGTCCTAGCAACCAGTCACAAGAAGTTTGTTGTTTAATATCAGAGGTAGTTAATCCCTTACTTGATAAAGTTTTAAAACAGAGTGCGTAGATGGTGCCGGTCAAATTTAATGTTTGAACCTTTGAAAGCACTTAATTTTTTTAGTATGGTTGCACTTTTTTGTTATTAGTTGGGATTTAAATAGCCATTAGGGGTGAATACAATACATTGGTTTTATATTTCTGGATGTTCCTGTTTACTTTGTTAAAATATATCTTCTAAAAGCTCTTACTACATCCAGATTGTACTGCGTTACTCCCCCTTTACAAGCGGGATAGGATATAAGGAAGGCACGACTATTGGTTAATGTGAAATCTAGAGACTACTTTTGAAAGAAATTCTGGAACTGGGTGAAACGTTGTGGAGTCACCTATGAATTGTGTGAATGGATCTTCAGAGGATACAGCATGAAGTACTGAAGCCTTGCTGGCTGAATGTATTGCACTAAGGAAGACTGTCTTCAAAGGAACACACTTTATTGGAGCTCTTATTCTGATACCTAAAAAGACTTCAGAACAACTACATTAAGCTGTAGTGGTTCTGGTGACTACAGTGTCCCTTTAAGAATTGTATTTTTGACTTTGAAAAATCTGGCTCCTAACTTTTTTAGCTGGCTTGAAGATTTTAAGCAAATTTGTCAAGCCCTGCTGTATTAGGAATTAGACTTTAACTTCGTATCAATTCTTTCTTCTGATAAATTGCAGGCTTTTAAAGTCTGCTTTTTAACTTTCATGTCATCAGTTTAAAATGTGATAGATTTTCGTGAAGGACTGGGCCTTGAGCCAGTAAATTCCTTTTGATTGGTAACTCCTGGTACGTATAAAGCAACAGTGGGAACCACTGCCAGTATAGTAAAATGGCTCTCACCTCCACTTCTTTGCTTCTGATTTTCCCAAGTACTCATGGAATATGCAAGAATAAGGGAAAGTGCATCCCAGATGAAAATTCCTTACCTGCAAGAGCGAACCCTGATCCATCACCCTTGGATCGTTTGTTCTGGAATAAATCCTTGGAGGTGGTTTGTTTGAGTATGTTACCATCAGGTCTATGGCTGGTGTTCATGTGCAACTTGTACATACTATTTAATTTCGACTCAGAAAATCTGCAATATTGTTGTATTTTCTCTGCAGATGAATAGCTGAAAGGCCTTCCAAGTTCATATGCGACCATGGTCTACCTTACAGGGTTTTTCACTAAAGTGAGAATTCAAAGTGAATTTCTTATTTAAGGTAAAAGTAGCTGAACTGGAGCCATAGCTGGCTTAGACAATTTTTAGAGTTTAGTCATATTGACTTTAAATTTGAAATTCATTTTGAATTCTCTCTTTCGTGAATAACCCTGAAAATAAAGCTACACTCTCCACGTAAACTGTTTTTGTGGCAACTTTAATAACCAACCTTGTACAGCTAGTCTTTTCTGTGGCTTTTGCTATTCAGTCTCCACTTAATCTTTAAAAGCAGAATGCATAGCAATGTAGCTCTTATCCTGAGTAGAACTTCAAAGTGCACATCTGCTGAGCGGCCATATTGGAATTTCCTGTGCACAGAGAGAACATCAAACGAATGCCCCAAAACAAGAAAGTAACTGGATAGCAATAAAGGTCGATACAAGAGCCTCCAGGACCAATACTGAAAAAAAGACCACAATACACTGCATAAATCCTTTTTACCACCCCGAAGGTATAATAATTGTCAAATAATGGGAGAAGTGGGAAAGAAATATAAATTGTGCAAACTGGAGAACTTAAACCACTTGATACCAAGTATGTTCATTGGCTTTTTGGTGTCGGGGTCCTACCTGGGTTGGGAGTCTGTAGCGCAGATATGTTGCTCACCCTTGCAGATAGCCACAGGCCAAGGTGGTCAGGTAAGAATTCACCTGGCCTGTGGGTCTGTGCATGGGGGCTGTGCAGGATGAAGTACCAAATCGCAGGACAGGCAAGGACTCAAACAACAGGATCGTCAAGGGATAGCTGAGGTCACAGGATGCCAGAGGACAGGAACAACGAAGAGTAGCCGAAGTCAAGGGATGCCAGAGGTCAGAGTAAACGTAGTCAGAAGTCGGGGTCAATTATAAGTAGATCAAACGACAGGAACACTGGTACAGAACACACAACAGGATCAAAGACTTGATCCTGATCACAGGGCGAGGCTGGGTTTAAATACCCTGCTGATGTCTGATCAGGGTCAGGTAAAGCACAGCCAAAGTCAAGGTACAGCCCCCAGAGTAATAGACATGCCAGGATGAACAGGACCGGAATCACTTGTTGATAACAAAAGCTGCTGTGGCTGAGAGGTAGGAAGCAGGACCAGGACTGCGAAGTTCCCCGGTTCATATCCCTTGTTGGGAACTCCTTGGGCGACCACGTCTGGCCATCTGTCTGCTGCGGTGAGAACCGTGACATTTGAGAGTCTCAAACTGCTTGGGCTGTATCTGGGTTCTTCCTAAGGGACAAAGATTGAACTTCCTTGGGTGCCATTATTAAAAACTAATGGCAGGTAAGCCTTAAAAGAAAAACTGTATGCTGCCTAAATGACTTGAGGACAAGACAAAGACTGCTGTATAGATGGAGGGGATTACCTTCATACCTTTCTTAATTGTATTTTGTATATACCTGTAATTATCATCTTAGAAGAAGGAGCTAGCCCATAGGCGATGCTGATATGGATTAGTCAGGATAACAACATTTTAGTGTTGTCTCATGCTGCTTTTTTACAGGTCCTCATCCTCTCCCACTATTGTTTGTCAGGTCCAGCATATTCTTGTTCTCCCACTGGGATGGATAAGAGACATGACAAGTAAATGCTGTGTTTCTCCCAATCCTCTATTTTGGATGATGGTATGGCTATTGTACACAGTGGATGGCTTCCTTGTATGTTAGTGGAAGTCTGAACTGCATACATGCCCACACGGTGTGCAATATACATTCAGTACAGCCCCAGAAAGCAGTTCATACACCTAGTGGAAGTCTGAACTGCATACATGCCCACACGGTGTGCAATATACATTCAGTACAGCCCCAGAAAGCAGTTCATACACCTGTACACTTAAACAACAACAAGTGAAAAAAATACGCTTATGAATATATAACCTTATTAAAAGTAAAAAACGTGTGCGCCTCTAAAGTGCAGTTAATAAGGGCAAAACAAACAATATCTTATAACACCTAAAATATGGTGCAAATTTCCTTGTGTACATAAAGTGCAAAGATCTATGTTTAAAGGGACACTATAGTCACCAGTGCAACTACATGTATTCCTGACCCTATAGTGTTAACACGACCATCTAGCCCCACTGGGCCCCTCATGCCTCCATAAATATAGTAAAAATCTTACTGTATTCAAGCCAGAAGCTGTAAATCTGCATGCTGTTAGACTCAGGAAAAACAAGCAGTCTAATGACATGTGATAGCCTGATCCAATCACAGTGCTTCCCCAAAGGATTGGCTGAGACTGACGAGGAGGCAAACACAAACACATCCCTGGCCAATCAGCATCTCCTCATAGAGATGAATTGAATCATTTAATCTCTATGAGGAAAGTTCAGTGTCTGCATGCAGTGGGAGGAGATACTGAATCACAGGATGCTCGTGCACAGCAGATCAGAGTGGATGGAGGCACATTATGCCTCCATCAACTCAGAAGTCCCTCTGGTTCACTCTGAGTGACTGCAACTGGAGGTGTTCCTAGCTTTCAATGTAAACACTGTATTTTCTCAGAAAATACAGTGTTTACATGAGAAAGGCTGCAAGGAGCTATAGTTCTCACCTGAACAACCTCATTAAGCTGAAGTTGTTCAGGTGACTTTAGTGTCCCTTTAAAAAGACATAACAAATATTCCTTTAAATCACAATCCAAAAGTTAGTGTGTAACAAAAAAAAAAGAATAAAAACGTATGAACCATATAATACTTCCATATTATACTGATATTCCTTAAAGTCTCTTGGGCTGCACATTTGGATCAAAATATAGGGGGAAAAAATCTAGTGCAGAACATCCATAAATTACAATAAATGCACTCAAGCATAGATAAATGGTCACACTCACAAATTTCGAGTGGATTAAGTGCCACTCTTATTCTGCAGGCACGTGTGCGATGGATGCAATAGGCAGAAGTGTAAGTATCTGGACCGGAGACACATAACGCCAATCTTCACATTAAATTTTGATTGAAAAAACTACTTGAAAAGATAAATAAATCGATAAGAGGCTTGCAGGTACTCATGATTACTCACGGTTGCTTTGTGCACCTGTACACATACAGAACGCAGCAAATCATTTTAGGAGAATCAGACAGAGAGTAGGGGGTTGGAGTTAAGCTTGAAGTAAAATATATTTTAATTGTAACTTTATTTTCTGGTATACAAAGACTATTTTAAGAATGTCCTGTTTTTTTGCATGAAAGTAAATTATATTTAAAAGGCTTTATATGATCCATCAGTTTGTAGTATAACTGCAGACATATAAAGTATATTCAGAACAACAGAAATCCAGAGATTTTACTTCTAGAGGGTCCCAATGCAGCTATAATAATATTTGTTTTGTTTTACTTGTTTCCCAGTACAATGATTATGTGCACTATATCGAGCCTTGTTTTAAAGGGATCCTGGTACAAGCTGACCGAGATAACAGAGAGGTAAGTGAAATCCTGACTGTGAGTTAGTGTAAAGTAATGATTGCGCATAGATTGTCTAAATGTGTTCTCTGTCAACTTTGGCAATTGTTCACTAAACTTGGCAGATGTCCATTGGTTTCAAGTAATTGGACATATGGTGAGCTTCGCAGGATCTCAGTGATGCTGACTTCAGCCGTAAACTTCAATTATTCTTAGAATGAACACTGCAGTTTCTATGATTCAAATGACTATATGATCATGTTAGATTATTTCACATACCCCTCAGTCTTTTATATACTCTGTCTCCTCCACTTTCAGTAATTTAATCATTTTCAATTGTTTAAAAAAAATCTGTGCCTCTTACCAGCTTCCCCATGTTCCAACAGAACTTTGATTAATAAAATACTCTAATAAAATTCTACAAACTGTTTTTTCCTTAATAAATGAACCCTCTGAAAAAAATGTTTTGATTTAAAGAAAACAATTAAAATAATGATCCTGGGGGAATAATTTGACATACTGTATGGTAAGATGAATAATAATGAAGAATTCAGGTTGTTGGTTGATTCTATGACACCTGTCACTTTCAATATTTTATTTAAGGGGCTTATTTGCTAGACCACGAGTTGTTAAGCGCAGATAATAGAGATGTAAATTTGGGGCCAATATAAGACCAATTGTGAAAAACTATCAACAAAATCAACTATTTTTAAATTTAATTTTGCAATAATGGTTTCATCCCACTGCATCTTATGTTTTAATTTATTTTTTAATGCAACTTGCAAACCAAAGTGCTCTGTGTTACTGATGATCTTGGGAAATTATAGAAACTCTCTCCTGTATCCTTCACAGCACTGACCCTGTCCCTTATTACCTTCTGTCTTTCATCCCTTTCACCACCTTTGTTTTGCAGCATTTTAAACAGTTAGTGGACGAACTGCAGGCAAAAGGTGTTGGAACAGTCAACAAAGCCCTCATCGAAGCCTTCAAAATCCTAAAAGAGGTATGAAACAGCATAGGTTAAAAAAGAACAACCCATAGTTAACATTGTAGTTGACAGTTTTGCTGTGAATAAATCACCGATCCTCGACATTTCTGCTTTAAAGGTGCGGTTATTAAATGCTTAACACTGTTTAGGCATGCTGTAATGTAGTTGATTGTCAGAGTGCTATCATAATGTCACTGCAAGAATTAGGGGCTTAGGATTTGAGGTGTAATAATTAATATACTCTGTGCTCTTGATATATGTGTAACCTTTCTATCTTCTCAGTTCCGAGAGGCGGGTCAGGGCGGGCTGTGTAATCAGGCCATCATGCTGATAACTGATGGGGCTGTAGAAGAATATGAACCGGTGTTTGAGAAGTACAACTGGCCTGATAAAAAGGTGGGTTCTGATGTAAAGTTGAGGGTAATTTTACAAAATATCCTAGCAGAGCTGCTCCTATGCTATTCACATTCTCAAAATGATGCAGAGCCACTATGGCGAAGTGTATTTTGATAAAGTGACAGAGTCCATGTATGAGAAGTATGACCCTATCGATACTGGTAAAGTGACTGCTGCATGACCTTCTGTATGCTTGAGTGAACTGGCCGTCATCAGACCACATGGTAAAGTTATGTGGGTTAACGAATTTGTGAATCCTCACAATGTAGCACTAGGAAAAATAAAACAATAAATAAACAATAAAACAGCCATGGTGTTGTAACATCACTTAAAGTAATACTGTTGTGCTATGTTTTTTGTGCACTGCATGCATAGACAGCACATGCTTTAAAGACAAAACTATTTTTGCTACAGATTGATGATCATAGGCAACCAAATTGAAATTTGGATAGGTTTAGTGGGGAATATTCTTATTTGTTCATAGCTTTTCTGGCTGGATTGAATAAGCATTACCAGTGGTCAGAATTTGGTCAATCTGGGTTTACAGAAAATTAAATGTCTATGAAAACACATTGGTAAGACAGGATTAAGTGCTTAATTCTAATTTTTTTCTTTGCCCCCTGTAAGCTCTGTAATGAGATATCCCTTCTAACGTATCTGCAGGACAAGGCATTCTGCAAATTGTTCTCTTGTGTAAGCTGTAGAACCAATGTACCAGAAAGAGAGCTGGCTTAATGTGGACCAGTGGTTATTGTATTCCTCCACTGACCATGGTATCTGTCATGTATGGAACCATCTAAGACACAAAATGATTTCTTGCTTAGTATTTCATGGGAACCAATAGCCAACAGACTATGGTATACAACGAGCCATCTAGCCACAGGTGAACAATAAATTAGAAATTAAGATGTGTGAAGGCTTTACTTGATGGACTGTTTGAGATCTTTGTAGGCATGTGGGTTCAGATGGGATACATGATATATTAATGTTGGCTTCTACCATCAAGACTAGTTAAGTTTAATGCACACATTCTACGCAGTTTGTTGTATGACGGAACAGGTAGGGGTAATGAAGTGCATGTCTCTACTGCTCTCTCCACTCACAATGTGCTGTATGGACAATTTGACTTATCAACATTCACAGGCGTCTTAAGCTTTGACTCAAGTCTGATTTACTGATTTAAATTCCATCAGGTGCGAATTTTTACATATCTCATTGGGAGAGAAGTGACATTTGCAGAGAACGTGAAATGGATCGCCTGCAGCAATAAAGGTATAACATTGTAACTTTTCTGCCTTTAACCTTTATTTGCAGTAATTGATGAGAACGCTAAGGGCAAATTTAATGGATTTTGCCGACCAGCAGTAACTCCTGTTAAATTGGTGTTTTGGGTGAGAGTGATTGGTTTTGCAGCCCCAAACATCCCCAGTTTAAAGGCCTAGCTTCCAGAGTTATTGGTCCTTCACTGTACATTGCTCTAAGGATAAAAGGTCTAACATTTCTGTACGGCTTTATTTATATTTAGATTCTAAACTTTGAAATCAATATTTTAGTCATAAATATGCATGAGTAATAACGGGACAGAATAATAGTAAATATCATGATCATATTAACACAGTGTAGTTAAAGAATAGCTTGACCATGTCTTACATTGTAACACAAGTGTTGTTTTTGCAAGGCTACTACACTCAGATATCCACTCTAGCTGATGTCCAGGAGAATGTGATGGAATATCTTCATGTACTGAGCCGGCCAATGGTAATCAACCATGACCATGATATCATCTGGACTGAAGCTTATATGGATAGCGCGGTAAGTGATCCAAGGAATTTTAATACATTAATGCATCAACTAACTATGATCCTCAGGCAGATTGCTCATGGTATTACTGGCTGATGATTATACATTTATAATCCAACAGCAAACAGTCGATCTCTCTCTCTCAGTAACTCCTGCATTACACACAATGAGAAATAGTTAATGAAGTCCTTGGTTTACAGGAGCTCTTTGTTCTATGCATATTTTCACTGCTAACAGAACCTTTTGCCACAAAATGGCCTTCTACCAGGCTGAGTTGCCATGGACCGGACATTACTGCACATAGGCTTCTTACTCCACAACTTGTGGACTAAGTCATTAGGATTATGGTACCTGTGTTTGGCACAACGTTGCATTTCACCCAGTTTTCCGTGTGACACCTCATTCTCTGTACACTTCAAATGAATATGTCAGTGTTACCTAACCCCTTGTATAATTCACGCAGATTTCTTAGTGGTACCTCACTTTCTGTACAGTTTACCTGAATATCAATGTGGCACCTTAACCCCTTAAGGACCAAACATCTGGAATAAAAGGGAATAATGACATGTCACACACGTCATGTGTCCTTAAGGGGTTAATCCCTTCACAATTCACCCAAGTATGAGTTTGGTCCCTCACTAATCGTACAATTCCTCCATACATTATTAATTGCTCCATTCACACAGATACCCATGTGTCACTTTGTATCTCATTTCACTCCACCCACTTATTTCAGGTTTTACACCCTGCCTGCCACATGTGGCCTCCTCATTCTTTAGGCAGATTCCAGATGCTCGTGTTTTATGCTGATACCGTTGTTTACATTCATACACATTTCCCTTTGTAATGTCCTGTTTTCTCATCCTGTTCCGTTCCCCATCTTCATGATCACCAGCTGCCCCAGTCTGAAGAGGTAACCTGTGCTTTGGATGTTGTGAACTGGCCCGTTTATCTTGTGCTACTGTGGTGGTGGTGGTGTTAGTCTGATTAGCCTGTGAGGTGTGTGCTGTAAAACCTTTCATAATGTGTTTGTGCATGCCACTCTAACATTTCATTGTAACATTGCCTGTTGTAGAAGAGTAAAGATGTTTCATACTATTCATTTCAGCATTGTGAATAGGTTCAAGCTTGCTTTAATGAAGAGGTCTTGTGAAATATGAATAGGAATCTTACTAGGAATTTCAACTCTCTCAAAAATATGTGGTTTCATAGCTAGCGTGTGTAAAGCACTGTAATGTAAAGAAAAACACCGTCTGTAATGTTCACTGATGCTATACCGCAGTTACCTGTTAATTTTCAAGGCATCATGTGTGTAGTTTGGGAAAAAAGCAAAATGGCTGCTCTCAAAATATTGCATATTAAATCCTGATAAAAGGCTATGTATTTTCTTTTTTTTTTTTTTTACTTAAAAAGGCACTCTAAACAACATAGTGTTGACGGCATGTGTAGTGGTTATGGTACATTGAATTTCCTTGTGCCATTCCTTTGTTTAATGCCATGCTCTTTATGAATGGTTTGATATAAACCAGGCTCCTCCAACACCCAGGGACTGGCGACCACATTGATCATGCAGAATTAACATTATCCCCATTATCCGCATTATTAATACCAATTTTGTCCTCCCTGATTAGCTACATGTACTTGGGGTTGATGATCCCTTTCTTTACAGCAATATGGTTGTGATATATTATACTGGATGCTGCTATGATCCTTGCTCTGTATCTATAAGACAGTAGTAGTGTTTCGTATAGTTTGACAGTCAAAGTAGGGATTCACAACATCCAGTTTCCACATAGATGGCTGCTTATGCTGAGAAAGTATGGTATGACAAGTGGCTGTTTTAAAGTTTCAGGTCATGGCCCAGAAGAGACGTTAGTCTAGAAGCTGAGCAATCTGTGGCGATCCTGGGAGATCAATGACCTCTCTCTTAGGAAGAGACTAATAATTTATCTGTCTCTCCAGCTCTTTGCATCCCAGGCTCAGAGTCTCCTGTTAATGACCACTGTGGCCATGCCTGTATTCAGCAAGAAAAACGAAACGGTGAGTAATGGCTGATGCAATAATCTGTAAGAAGGAGAGAAGAGTGATGGTGAGAATGTAATCTAGAGGAAAAGTCTAAAGTCGGGGCAAGGATTTCATTGGGTGATGTGTTGCCAGGCACAAATAGTCATTCCATGAACCCATCACGTAAATAAACCTTTATATCACAGATGTACCAACATAGACCAAACACTGTCAAGACTTCAGTTCCTAGGATTCTCTGCCAATCAGGAACTGGGAAATGTAGCCGAATAGCTGGAGGCCAGGGCTGAACATCGAAATTTTACTCCCAATAGTTGGGATTAAGCTAGCCTTCAGTATTTTGTATTCTTTTTTAGAAATAGTTCACCTGTTTTGTCTGACATTTCTAAAATTCATTTTGGCTTTCCATATTACTATTACTGCTTATTATTTTCTAGTCTATAATATTTCATAGCATTTACCCTTCTCACTTTTCTTGATTTGATGCTCCTTGAGCATTTTGGAATGTTTCTAATTTAAATATTTGCAACTGGAACAGGTGTGATTAAGTAAATAGATATCAACCAAAAGTGTCCCAAATAATAGTTGAGTGTGTGTTAAGAAAAGGGAGATACTTTATTAACAATATCCTAAAAACAGGTGAGAGAGCTAGCACCTAAACAAGCTAGGGAATTGTCAAGTTTAAACTAATATTTTAGACCCCCTTAGAGATCTATTGCTTCAGTGACAGTTCACGTTGGGATGGTGCACAAGGACAACTAAAGCCGCTGTGAGCTCTGGTCATTCTGACATGAGGGGCATTATATGTAATGTCTGAGCCATGAAAGATTGCTGCTAAATAATTTACTTTTTCCTGAGTTGTAGCCTGGATGTAATAGGTGACTCAACCATTTAAGTATATATATCATTGTATTCAGAGGCAGTTAATGCTAAATCTGCCAAAACCAGCATTAAAGCTATGATCAGGAATCTCCACTCACTATTCCAAATGCAGTAGCCAGTGTTAAAGGAACATGTGGCTTCTCTAATGGTCTGTATTACAGCAGTTAAAGATAACATAGGAGACATCCATGCCAGCCTGACAGCCACTGAGTTGACCAACTAGCAACTGCATAAGATGTGTACCGAGCTCATTTCTGAGGTTTGTGGTATATAACAAGGCACCCTACTGATGATAGAAAGTCATTGATGGGACTTGGAGAACATTGCTCCCTTTGTCCCTCATTCACCTCCAACATGGTAACAGGCCCACTAGCTTGAGTTCCTCCCTCTGTGGACTAGGGTCACTCATTTTAGCCTGTTTGTGAACATCTTTTTCTTGCTTTAGTTTTACATCAGATTGTAAGGGTGTATTAGTTGATGGATTCAGTGACAAATTAATCAGTGTTTTTTTTTTCCTTCCTAGAGATCAGAAGGAATCCTTTTGGGTGTGGTCGGGTCAGATGTACCACTGCGTGAGCTCCTAAAATTGGCCCCAAGGTATAAGGTGAGAAGAAAGTTTTAAAATTAATTTCTATGTTTCATACTCTGTACAGGGTTATTCATTTGGGTGTCAATTTTAGGAATTCAAAGTTAATTAATTTTTCAAAAAAGTTTTTGTCAATCATTGCTTTATTGAGATGATAACAAGATACAGACAAAAAAATAAATTGTACCAGGATATATCAGCATAGTTAGCTAGACTGATACACTTTACATGTCACATATAATTCTGATTGATAGAGACATCTAATTTTTACATATTACTAAGTTGGGCGATTAACTGGGCATAACTATTATTAGCATGAGTGTAATGAGCTATACAGGACTCTTGGGTATTAGCTAATAGAGCATGACACACTGACTACTGATCAGACATGCTAATCTTTTCTCACGGGCTTAATAATCCATCAGTTCAAATGGCAAAGCGATAATAAAAATAAAGATAAAACCAGGTGAAAGAAAAATAAAATTTTGCCATGTAGGCTATATGAATCCTGTGGTACATTAGTTGTAGAAGTGGTAGCCAGCTTCTGTCGAAAAGAATTGCACAGTCTGTCAAACACCTTTAGTAAGTCCCATCCACGATCAGGCATGTCAGCCATTTTGGAACTTCCAAGTAGGCACAGTGTATAGCAGTAACAAACACTCTGTAGCTGGCCATGTGTGTTATTTAGTTCGTCAGTGTAGCCCAGGATAAACCCCACCGGACCGGGGGGCGGGGGGGGGGAGGAGGAGTACAGGCAATTGCTAGAGTACCACCAAGCAAGGGATCAACCTCGTCCCCACTTAAGACCAACCAGCAGGCCTCAGAGAAGTTTTTGCTTTTAAGGCTTAATTTCACAAAAGGTTTGAGGAACCCCTCCACCATGCAGCTATCTCTGTCAGCAGCTAGGCGCCGCACCCTTATAATTTACCATTTTAGACCAGAATAACTAAATTGAAAAGGACCCAGCTATGTTTGCAGTTTGAATATTTTGTTCAAAAATTTGCAATTCACTTTGAACTCACTTTAAATTTCTGACTATTCACACTTTAGTGAATAGCTCCAATAATATTAAGTGATGGGTGCAGCTAGTCTGTCTGTTAACATACTCACCTGTAAAGTTCCTGTATAAAGATGCTGCAGGGTTCTCATCTGTCATCATACTAAGGTGGGAACACAAGCTTAATGCTTTACCGAAAAACTGAGCATTGTCTTTTGATGGGATGTGTTTTTGTAGATGTCTTGCAAGTAATATAATTTAAACTCTTTCACAGCTTGGAGTTCATGGGTACGCCTTTCTAAATACTAACAATGGGTACATACTGTCTCATCCTGATCTACGGCCTCTGGTAAGTGAATTGATTTGATTTTATTGTTATTTTAGAATTGCTGTTATTAATAGTCTGGGATATGAGTAACATAATCATTCAAAGCTTGACATTCAAAGAATACCATATGCCACACCAGCTCAAACTTCCTGGTTAGTACCATAAAAGGAACATTATATGATTAGCAATATAAATCTGTATTCCTAACTCTATCTTGTTCCTGTTTCTACTTGTTTTCAGGTGTCCTTTGCCTGTTTATTATAAAATGTAAAAAAAAAAATAGATTTACTTAATTTTTTCCATCACCTAGTCTTTAGTGTTGCACATCTCTCCGCCTTCCTTGACGTCACAGAGTGGACATGGCTTCCTCTGTTGAAGTCCAATCCAATTCTCCTTGTAGAGAAGCATTAGGGACCTAATGTGCATGTACACACATTCAAACTTTCTCATAGGAAAACATTGAATCAATGCTTTACTATGGGTCTTCTGTATCATGTGACCGCGTTTTACTTAGCCCTTTCAAAAATTGCAGTGTTTTACATTGCAGAATTAAGAGGGCAGTGACACAGCACTCAAACCTTCATTGATATAAAGTGATTATACAGGGAGTGCAGAATTATTAGGCAAATTAGTATTTTGACCACATCATCCTCTTTATGCATGTTGTCTTACTCCAAGCTGTATAGGCTCGAAAGCCTACTACCAATTAAGCATATTAGGTGATGTGCATCTCTGTAATGAGAAGGGGTGTGGTCTAATGACATCAACACCCTATATCAGGTGTGCATAATTATTAGGCAACTTCCTTTCCTTTGGCAAAATGGGTCAAAAGAAGGACTTGACAGGCTCAGAAAAGTCAAAATAGTGAGATATCTTGCAGAGGGATGCAGCACTCTTAAAATTGCAAAGCTTCTGAAGCGTGATCATCGAACAATCAAGCGTTTCATTCAAAATAGTCAACAGGGTCGCAAGAAGCGTGTGGAAAAACCAAGGCGCAAAATAACTGCCCATGAACTGAGAAAAGTCAAGCGTGCAGCTGCCACGATGCCACTTGCCACCAGTTTGGCCATATTTCAGAGCTGCAACATCACTGGAGTGCCCAAAAGCACAAGGTGTGCAATACTCAGAGACATGGCCAAGGTAAGAAAGGCTGAAAGACGACCACCACTGAACAAGACACACAAGCTGAAACGTCAAGACTGGGCCAAGAAATATCTCAAGACTGATTTTTCTAAGGTTTTATGGACTGATGAAATGAGAGTGAGTCTTGATGGGCCAGATGGATGGGCCCGTGGCTGGATTGGTAAAGGGCAGAGAGCTCCAGTCCGACTCAGACGCCAGCAAGGTGGAGGTGGAGTACTGGTTTGGGCTGGTATCATCAAAGATGAGCTTGTGGGGCCTTTTCGGGTTGAGGATGGAGTCAAGCTCAACTCCCAGTCCTACTGCCAGTTCCTGGAAGACACCTTCTTCAAGCAGTGGTACAGGAAGAAGTCTGCATCCTTCAAGAAAAACATGATTTTCATGCAGGACAATGCTCCATCACACGCGTCCAAGTACTCCACAGCGTGGCTGGCAAGAAAGGGTATAAAAGAAGAAAATCTAATGACATGGCCTCCTTGTTCACCTGATCTGAACCCCATTGAGAACCTGTGGTCCATCATCAAATGTGAGATTTACAAGGAGGGAAAACAGTACACCTCTCTGAACAGTGTCTGGGAGGCTGTGGTTGCTGCTGCACGCAATGTTGATGGTGAACAGATCAAAACACTGACAGAATCCATGGATGGCAGGCTTTTGAGTGTCCTTGCAAAGAAAGGTGGCTATATTGGTCACTGATTTGTTTTTGTTTTGTTTTTTGAATGTCAGAAATTTATATTTGTGAATGTTGAGATGTTATATTGGTTTCACTGGTAATAATAAATAATTGAAATGGGTATATATTTGTTTTTTGTTAAGTTGCCTAATAATTATGCACAGTAATAGTCACCTGCACACACAGATATCCCCCTAACATAGCTAAAACTAAAAACAAACTAAAAACTACTTCCAAAAATATTCAGCTTTGATATTAATGAGTTTTTTGGGTTCATTGAGAACATGGTTGTTGTTCAATAATAAAATTAATCCTCAAAAATACAACTTGCCTAATAATTCTGCACTCCCTGTAGTGTTCTTTTAAGGTTAGTAATTTATAATCATGTCTTCTTTGGGATAGTTCATTCTATTGGCCTGCACTTACCTCCTGCTGGTCAGCTGTGTGTATGGCCATGTGACCCCTTCAGACCTGAACATGCGACGTCAAAATGTTGGTAGTTGATGTGTTTCCTAATTGTAACAGATTGGGCCATAGGTCAACCATCACAAGTCTTCATGTGTCAAAGTAGATGACATAATTTTTTATGTTTTTAATTCTACATAGGTTAGAGGGATTCCCAAGAGATAGCCCTGTGTCTGGTATGGAATTAAAACATCAATGGAGTTGTAGTTCAGCTGGGGGATAGCTGTTGGATACCCATGTTATTTGAGGTTTTTCTGTTGTTTTTGTTTTATAGCTTATTTACATTTGGTTTGTTTTCCCAGTATAAGGAAGGAAAGAAGCTCCGACCAAAACCCAACTATAACAGTGTGGATCTCTCAGAGGTGGAATGGGAAGATCGGGATGAGATTGTAACTTACCATTTATTTAGTAACATTTTTCCAAATGCTAATGCTTATAGTGCATATTCTGTAAGATCTGTCTGCCTGCCTGTCTGTCTGTCTATCTATCTATCTATCTGTCTGTCTGTCTATCATGTTTGAATGTATCAGGTTCACACATCACACAGTACTGTAATTGTAGAATATTAGTTGTTTTGAATGAAGACATGTTTTTTCTACTTCAGAAGAATCCAAACTTAACTTGCAATCTCTTGTTTATCTAGAACAGGGGTAGGCAACCTTCAGAACTCCAGATGCTGTGGACTACATCTCCCCTGATGCTTTGTTATTATGACTGTAAAATCATACTGGGTGATGTAGTCCACAAAATCTACCCCTGGTCTAGAATATTCTGGCAGCCCACTGTGCTCCAACGGAGGTTTGTGGATCACCTCAACCTTACTGCTTGTCATGTTAGTAGTATTGTTTCCTGAATTGTTCACATTATTTGCGAGAACTCATTTGAGAGAGCTCTGGGATTGTGTGCTCTGAGTACCAATCCTCCATTATAATGCCACATTTAGTACTTTACAGATAGGAAAGTCCACTATAGGCGTTAGAGACTAAGTTAATGTAAATTTGAAATCAAAGCTGTATAAAGATGTTATATGCTGCAGTAATGATGGTGCTTGGAGTGTTCATATAAACTTAAATAAGTAAAGAAGAATAACATAAAGAAAAACCAACTGAGCTGATGTAACATCTACATTGAGTTGCATAGTACTGCTCACAGTAATATTGCTAATATTAATCTCTCCAGGGTCAGAGAAGATCCAACTACCTTTTGTGGAGTGTCAGGTTCCACTGTGTTATTGTAGTGGATACCTGAGCTAATAATGCTAGTGCTAGTGTTCGTTGTACACTTATTCGATATATTCCAATATCTTTATAACGAGTTAGCCAAAAAGTACCTGTCTAGCTAAATTCCATGATGCTCAGCAAGCATTTGGATGTATTTGGTGGCAGGCCACAAATGGCTTAAAGTGGCTGCATAACAATTTCCGGTAGAGTCAGTTCAGTAACATATGGTGTGGCTGCCCTACCTCTGTGCTACTATTTACATGTTTGGCTATATAAGGATGGTGCTTTGAGTAACTTGCCTGTCTCGTTCAAACACAGCTTCGTACCGCCATGATTAACGGCGAGACCGGTTCTTTGAGCATGGAGGTCAAAGTGCCTGTAGATAAAGGGGTAAGTCTGGACTTTTCACATTGAATTCTCTGCCACTCTAGATATATACTGCATCCTAAACTTCTATTATTAGAATCCAATATTTAATAGGTTACTGTAAAAACATATCATTGGTTCATATTACAAAAGTGATTACATTCTTTTTTTACATTCTGTTGGTACCACAATGTACATTTTCTCATGCAATTGACCGAAAGCAGTACAAGGACAGCCATTAGATAAATACTCAGAGAGTAGAATGTATCTATTAATTTGTAAATCCAGTATTACCGCTAAAGTGAGGTAAGTCCAATGGCAGCTTGGTGAGAAAACTTAGATTCCATTCCAAACATATATCAAAAACAAAAAAAACCCACACAAATAAACTTCATTCATTCATGCAGTATACATGTTTATGAGGATCCAATGTTTAACCAATTCTACACGGTTGTCCTTCTAAGTGACATTCCGCACTCAAAAATTCAGTGGAGTAATCAGTTGTGTCTGTAAGATCTTGATTTTGCTGCTTCATGCATACCTCACACTTTCCCTTTTCTTTGTTAGAAACGTGTCCTGTTTCTGACCAGTGATTATTTCTACACAGATATCAGTGACACCCCATTCAGGTAAAGGACAACAGATTGCGTTCTTGCTGTGATGACCATGATTACTACATACAGGAGTGTCTTAGATTTCTGTTTGTTTTCTAGCTTAATGAGTTGTATAGGAATATTCTGCTTAACCGAATAGGTATAGTCTGTTTCTGCAATTTCAAGATGAAAAGCTCTACCTGCTGACTGCTTCTTAAAGCCTTTAGCCATATAAAAGCCACTTGAAAATGGCGTGGTACATAATATGGACAAAACCAGTAAGAAACTAAGTACCCTGGCTCTCAGCTTTCATGCATTTAAAAAAAAAAAAAAAGAAGACACCCGTTTTGTATATTTAATGATTGTAAAAAGAGAAACATAAGTTAAACAAATAAAAAGCTCCCCACAAAACAGAGCTCTTTATCCCCTGAAGTGGTCTTTCATTTTAAAAGCTATACCACCAGAACTATTTTTAGTATCACAAGTCTTTTGTTAGACTGTTGTTTGCCCATAAGTCTAAACATTATTCTAACTCTTAATACTGCTTGACACTCGATTAATAATTAATTTAGTTCACTGACTTGTTGGTTTGGAATATGAGCTGCCGTTCTCATTATCTATCAGTTTAAATAAGTATATGAAATGTGCATAATAATCTTATTAGCTAAGAAAATTTGGAAAGATGTATTCTAAGACATACATTTCATGTGCCCCAAGCTATAATGCATAAACACACTCCCCCATAAGCTAAATTTTATAAACAAAAAATAAAACAAAAACAAAATAGACTGCGTGGATGGGGCATAGTTAAGTCAGCACTACATAGATTGAATGGGTTGAGTTTGCATCCATAAGGACACACCCCTGCAGTGACCTAAGTAGTTTACTCTTTATAAAACTTTTTATTACACCTTTTTTCATGCTTCAAGTGATTAACTTGGTTTCTTTCAAACACAACTGCTATGATGGGTGGAAGTATAGACGGATGTCTGTATTTTATTTTCAGCCTTGGTGTTGTGTTGTCTCGAGGACATGGGGAATATATCCTTATTGGAAACACATCCATGGAAGAAGGTAAGCACAACATATATAACAATAGTTATACAGTTATATATTACATAACAATAGTTATATCAAGTTTGTTGAGGAGGATTCTGTGGAGGATGGATGTGCTATATAACCAAAGCTTCTAATTTCTGCTATGTTGTGCCTTTTAGTTTTAGTGTAGTTCTTTATAGTTTTTATACTTTTTAAAAAAAGGTATTTTTCTGGCAATATAGTTCCCTATAGCTAAACACCCCTTCTGTCATGATGTGCTTCGGTGCTGGTTCAGAATCCGCCACCGCTCTTCCTCTTCCGATGTGTCAGCCGGCAAGGTATTGTATAATGATCTCCTATGCAGTTTTGCATGATACTGGATTTCCTCATGCATTGCGTGAGGATGTCCAAAGTCAGTTAGGCAACCAAAAGTCGCCCATATCGACCAGAAAATGCCTCTATAGGCTGTTTTGTAGAAAGTCCTTAGAGGTGGAGTTAACCCTCAAAGGTAATTATTGCAGTTTTTTTAAACTGCAATAATTACTTTTGCAGAGTTAAGGGACACTGCCCTTAGACACCTTTAATGAGCTGAAGTGGTCTGAGTGCATATAGTCAGTGGCATACTAAGGGGAGGGGGGCGCTCCCCCCATGTGCCACGCACTAGGGTGGTGCCATGACCAGGAAAACCTTAGGATATGTGAGCTTTGCGCAGGGACAGGTTGCCATGGCAGCTGCACAGCTCACACACGCAGGAGCATGCAGCTGCAGAACTTCAAAACCGTCGCATGTAAGAAAAATGGGGCGGAGCTAATCTGCTGTGGGGCGGAGCTAAACACGGCCTCCAGCCACTGCTGTTACTGCTGCACATCATAGAAACATAGAAACATAGAATGTGACGGCAGATAAGAACCATTCGGCCCATCTAGTCTGCCCAATTTTCTAAATACTTTCATTAGTCCCTAGCCTTATCTTATAGTTAGGATAGCCTTATGCCTATCCCACGCATGCTTAAACTCCTTTACTGTGTTAACCTCTACCACTTCAGCTGGAAGGCTATTCCATGCATCCACTACCCTCTCAGTAAAGTAATACTTCCTGATATTATTTTTAAACCTTTGTCCCTCTAATTTAAGACTATGTCCTCTTGTTGTGGTAGTTTTCTTCTTTTAAATATAGTCTCCTCCTTTACTGTGTTGATTCCCTTTATATATTTAAATGTTTCTATCATATCCCCCCTGTCTCGTCTTTCCTCCAAGCTATACATGTTAAGATCCATTAAGTTTTATCCCGCAATCCATGAACCAGTTTAGTAGCCCTTCTCTGAACCCTCTCTAAAGTATCAATATCCTTCTGAAGATACGGTCTCCAGTACTGTGTACAATACTCCAAGTGAGGTCTCACCAGTGTTCTGTACAATGGCATGAGCACTTCCCTCTTTCTACTGCTAATACCTCTCCCTATACAACCAAGCATTCTGCTGGCATTTCCTGCTGCTCTATTACATTGTCTGCCTACCTTTAAGTCATCAGAAATAATCACCCCTAAATCCCTTTCCTCAGATGTTGAGGTTGGGACTCTATCAAATATTCTGTACTCTGCCCTTGGGTTTTTATGTCCAAGATGCATTATCTTGCACTTATCCACATTAAATGTCAGTTGCCACAATTCTGACCATTTTTCTAGTTTACCTAAATCATTTGCCATTTGACTTATCCCTCCTGGAACATCAACCCTGTTACATATCTTAGTATGATCAGCAAAAAGACATACCTTACCATCAAGACCTTCTGCAATATCACTAATAAAAATATTAAAGAGAATAGGTCCAAGTACAGATCCCTGAGGTACCCCACTGGTGACAAGTGCAAGCTTCGAATATATTCCATTAACTACAACCCTCTGTTGCCTGTCACTCAGCCACTGCCTTACCCTTTCAACAATATTGGAATCCAAACTTAAAGATTGCAGTTTATTGATAAGCCTTCTATGTGCAACAGTGTCAAAAGCCTTACTGAAATCTAGGTAAGCAATGTCTACTGCACCACCCTGATCTATAATTTTAGTTACCCAATCAAAAAAATCAATAAGATTAGTTTGGCATGATCTCCCTGAAGTAAACCCATGTTGTCTCTGATCTTGAAATCCATGTGTTTTTAGATGTTCATCAATCCTATCCTTTAACATGGTTTCCATCACTTTTCCCACTACTGAAGTAAGGCTTACTGGCCTATAGTTGCCTGACTCCTCCCTATTACCTTTCTTGTAAATGGGCACAACATTCGCTAACTTCCAATCTTCTGGGACTACTCCTGTTAACAATGATTGGTTAAATAAACCTGTTAATGGTTTTGCTAGTTTACCACTAAGCTCTTTTAATAGCTTTGGGTGTATTCCATCAGGTCCCATTGACTTATTTGTCTTTACTTTTGATAGTTGAAATAGAACCTCTTCCTCTGTAAACTCACGTGTAATAAATGACTCATTTATCCTTTTTCTCAACTGAGGTCCCTTTCCTTCATTTTCTTCTGTAAATACAGAACAAAAATATTCATTGAGGCAGTCAGCCTGACCTTTATCCTCTTCTACATACCTTCCTTCTTTTGTTTTTAATCTAACTAATCCTTGTTTTACTTTTCTTTTCTCATTTATGTATCTAAAAAATGTTTTATCCCCCTTTTTTACTGACTGTGCTATTTTCTCTTCTGTGTGTGATTTGGAAGCTCTTATAACTTGCTTAGCCTCTTTCTGCCTAATCTTATAGATCATTTTGTCTTCCTCACTCTGGTTTTTTTATAATTCCTAAATGCTAACTTTTTGTTTTTAACTATTTTGGCCACATCTGCGGAGTACCACAATGGTTTCTTGAATTTTTTGCTTTTACTGACAAGCCTAATGCAATTTTCTGTTGCATTCAATAGTGCAGCTTTTAAATAATCCATTTCTCTTGGACTCCATTTGAATTGCTCCAGTCTGATAATGACTCTTCTACACATATTCTAATTTTAGAAAAGTCTGTTTTTCTAAAGTCTAAAACTTTTGTTTTTGTGTGGTGTGACTCAGTCACTGTTCTTATATTAAACCACACTGACTGATGATCACTGGATCCTAAACTTTCATCTACAGTAATATCTGATACCAAATCTCCATTTGTTAACACTAAATCTAGTATGGCCTCTTTACGAGTTGGCTCCTCAACAACTTGTTTTAGAGACAATCCCAGTAGGGAGTTTAGAATATGTGTGCTCCTGGCACAAGTAGCTAATTTTGTTTTCCAATTTACATCAGGAAGATTAAAGTAACCCATGATGATAACTTCCCTCTTCATTGTCATTTTAGCTATTTCCTCAACTAGTAGATTATCTAACTCTTCGATTTGTCCTGGGGGCATATAAATCACACCTACACGAGTTACTGTGTGATTACCAAATTCTAACGTAACCCAAACAGACTCTATGTGTGCCTCACTAACTTTTATTAGGCTAGATTTTATGCTATCCTTCACATACAGGGCCACCACTCCCCCTTTCTTGCCTTCCCTATCTTTTCTATATAAAAAGTACCCTGGTATTGCTATGTCCCAGTCATTTTTCTCATTATACCATGTCTCAGTAACAGCGACTAAATCTACACTATCAGTTGCCATTATTGCCACAAGTTCATGGATATTTTTTACCTAAACTGCGAGCATTTGTAGACATGACTCTAAGCTTATCATTTTTTAACACACTTGCTACAGGCACCTTCAGTCCTTGTTTTGGGGGACAATTGGATTGATGTTTTATCACCCTTTTGCCCCCCCCTCCTAGTTTAAATACATCCTAGTAAAACCTCTGAACTGCTCACTGAGAACATTTGTTCCCTTTTGAGAAAGATGCAAACCATCTTTTTTGTACAGCTTATTTCCATTCCAAACAGAGCTTCCATGAGAAATAAAGCCAAATCCTTGCTCCCGACACAATTCACCAAGCCACAAATTAAAGTCCTTAATACGCATCCACCTGTCATTCTGAGTGTTATGCACAGGCAGAACTTCAGAGAATGACAGTGTGGAAGCAACCTGCCATATATCATTGGCAAAAACACTAAAAACTTCCTTAACCTCTGAAACCTCATTGCAAGCCAAGTCATTTGCCCCTAGAAGGACAAGTACATCCAATTCCCCTTCCTGCTTTGCTTGCTTAACAATATTACAGATACGTCTCCTGTCTCTGTGAGCAGTAGCTCCGGGAAGACACCTCACAAGACCACCATTGTCCATCTCCACACCTCTTATGATGGAATCCCCCAACAACAACTGCTTTCTATTAGGCCTCACCATAGTCTCCAAGCCGGTCTCCACAACACCACTAGCCTCTGTGCCTCTCTCCACAACACCACTAGCCTCAGTGCCTCTCTCCACAAAACTACTAGCCTCAGTGCCTCTCTCCACAAAACCACTAGCCTCAGTGCATCTCTGCACAACACCACAACAGGGACTTCAGGTAATCTACTCCTCCAGCCCATAATGTCTGTAAGTAAGAGAGTGTGTGTGTGTGTGTACCTGTTACTCTGTGTGTGTGTGAGACTGCCTACCTATAACTGTGTTTGTGTGACTGCCTGTGAATCTGTGTGTGACTGTCTGCCTGTAACGGTGTCTGTGTGACTGCCTGTGAATCTGGGTGTGTGAGATTGTCTTCCTGTGATTGTGTGTGAATGCCTGCATGTACATGTGTATGTGTGTGAGTGTCTGCCTGTGACTGTGTGTGTGACTGTCTTCATGTGACTGTGTGTGACTGTGTGCATGTGACTGTCTGCCTGTAATTGTATGCGTGACTGTCTGTAACTGTTTGTGTAACTGCCTGTAACTGTGTGTGTGTGACTGTGTGTGAGTGACTATCTGCCTGGGACTGGACTCTGAAGACTGTTGCTAATATTGTTGTGTAAAAGAAATGAATTCTATTGTAAGGGGCTGAGCAGGGGCTTTAGAGGGTGGGGCAGTTTTTTTTGGGAAGGGGGTGCAGGAGATTTAAGGAAGGGAGTGCAGGGGTTTGTTGAAGGGGAACAGGGATTTTGAAGAAGTAGAGCTGAGCAGGGGATTTTTGGAAGGGGGTGGAGGGGTTTTGTAGAACTGGGGCAGGAGAGGGGTTTTGAAGAAGGGGACAGGACAGGGTTTTTTTTTCAAAATTTACACATCTGTGCAATTGTTAAAAATGAAAACACTTTTTTTACATTTTAAAGTGTGGGGGTGGTGGGGAGGTGCCAAACACAGGATCTGCCCGGGTGCCAAATGCTCTAGGTACGCCCCTGCTTATAGTGTCCCTTTAAGCAGACAATGAGTGGTCACCACACAGAAAAGGTAGTATCTGGAGATGGTAACATTGTGATTTGCATTTTCGTTGGAGGTTTTACTGTTACTATTCAAGTGTAATGAATGTCATCCTGGCGCATTGCAGTTAGAACAATGTTAAAACAAAATGATAAGCTGTGACAGTACTGCTAGTATTTTATTCATTCCATCAGTAACCTAGTTTCTGGGTCTCTTTCAGGACTGCACGATCTACTTCACCCAGACCTTACACTGGCCAATGAGTGGTGAGTCGAGACTGAGTATCACATGCTAGGCCACGCTCAATAACTCTGTAAATCACTCTGATCTCCTGATGTATAATTGCAAAATTATAGCTGATCAGCCTTCAAGCTTTATTAGCAGACCTATCATTTCTCTTAATGTAATAATCATTAGGAATCATTTCATTCTCACAGGATGTGAATGCTAATGATTTTGGCCAATATGTAATTGTGTGCAGATCCAGGGCAGACGTGATAGATTCATTTGTGTCTTCAAATAATAGTAATATTTCTAGCTATTATTATTCCCTTTCGTAAGGAATACAGTGAGGGGGAAAAGTATTTGATCCCCTGCAGATTTGGAACGTTTTCCCACTGACAAAGAAATGATCAGTCTATAATTTTAATGGTAGGTGTATTTAAACAGTGAGAGACCGAATAACCCCCCCCCCCACCAAAAAAAGTTTTACATTGATTTGCATGTCAATGAGTGAAATAAGTATTTGACCCCTTCGACTTAGTACTTAGAAAAGGCTGCTGCTTTCAAACAGCACTGAGGGTCCTCACAGGCAGTGTGGGGCCAGTGGCAGACTTAGAAGAGTGGCTTACATAGAAACATAGAATGTGACAGCAGATAAGAACCATTCGGCCCATTTAGTCTGCCCAATTTTCTAAATACTTTCATTAGTCCCTGGCCTTATCTTATATCTAGGAAAGCCTTATGCCTATCCCACGCTTTCTTAAACTCCTTTACTGTGTTAACCTCTACCACTTCAGCTGGAAAGCTATTCCATGCATCCACTACCCTCTCAGTAAAGTAATACTTCCTGATATTATTTCTAAACCTTTGTCCCTCTAATTTAAGACTATATCCTCTTGTTGTGGTAGTTTTTCTTCTTTTAAATATAGTCTCCTCCTTTACTGTGTTGATTCCCTTTATATATTTAAATGTTTCTATCATATCCTCCCTGTCTCGTCTTTCCTCCAAGCTATACATGTTAAGATCCATTGTTTTATCCCGCAATCCATGAACCAGTTTAGTAGCCCTTCTCTGAACCCTCTCTAAGATATCAATATCCTTCTGAAGATACGGTCTCCAGTACTGTGTATAATACTCCAAGTGAGGTCTCACCAGTGTTCTGTACAATGGCATGAGCACTTCCCTCTTTCTACTGCTAATACCTCTCCCTATACAACCAAGCATTCTGCTAGCATTTCTTGCTGCTCTATTACATTGTCTGCCTACCTTTAATGTCTACTTGCCAGTTGATAGTGGGCTAGTGGAACATTTTGAGCCCTGGATTAAAACATTTCTTGAATGCTCTCAAAAGTGTAAAATTATTCATATATGAATCTGCTCCCTGGACATTGAGATCATCACGTTTGCCGAAGAGGATTCGTGAAATATTATATATATATTTTTTTTACTCTTCGGTCATAGTTATAAATAATACAGACAGGTTGTGATGAGGAAAACTATTTCATGTTACATCTTATTACAGATCTTATATATATTTTGCGTAGACTCTATCCTGGTTAATTATTGTTAAAACACACACTCCTCCAGTCAGAACCTATTAATGCAAGTGTGTGATACTGCTAGTTGTTCCCATTGTCATGTAATTGACTGGATTCTCTTCTCTAGGATATATTGTATCACAGATATTGACCCTGATCATCGGAAGCTCAACCAGTTGCAGGCTGTAACACGATTCCTGATGGGAGAAGACCCAGACTTGGAATGTGAGTGTAGCAAGCAGTTACTAGCAGTGTCCCTGCCTCACGTTGGTTATTCCACTGTTCCTGCCACACATCCGCTGGGTTTCTCTTCCACGTATCCACTATTCATCTGTGTCTCTGCCACAAAATGTCTACTGCTTTGTGTCCTTTCCTCCATTTGCCACACCTGTTTCCCTGCCACAACACCTCTACGGTTGTGTATCATAGTGGAATGTGGAATGTGGAAGACCATCATATAATATGAGTTGTGAGGCACAAATATCATATAGTCTCTTTGGAACTGAGATAAGAATGCTGATGTCCAATCTCTTTTTGTAGGTGATGAGGAGCTGGTGCAGGAAGTCCTGTTTGATGCTGTGGTCACGGCTCCATTAGAAGCTTACTGGACACAGTTAGCCCTTAATATGTCAGGGTAAGTAACCCCATTTATATCATATGCAAAGATTCAGCTCTTTCAGTTCATTAAATACTGGATTATGTGTCTACAAAAAGGTGATGGAGAGATTATTGAGAAAGTGTTGACAATGGCTTCAGTGCTCGACTGTTATTTTGTATTTTGAGACAAGCTGTTATAAACTGTCTATTTTGAAATTTTGGAAATACTGTCAAATTTGGTAAATGAGTAATTGATTATTCTTGAGATAGTATAGTTACGGTTAAGAGTGGCAAAAGGAGTAATGGTCTTAAATCGGGCATACTACATCTGGTAGTGATAGACAAATATCATTCTTCTTAGAGTCTCCTATGAAGCCATCTTTTCTGTCAGAACACAGAGCCAAATTAATTTTGTGGGTCTTAGGCAGGTGACCACCTTTTCTCAATTCCCTCATGCCTCACATACTGCCATTAAATATTCAACAAACATGGGGGGTCAGCATCCAACTTCATAGCACCATAAACAATACAATTAGCTGCAGTGCTTATGGTGCTTAGAGTTTCTCTTTAAGAAATGTCACAGACGATTCCGCAGTAATCTGATATGGATAGCAAAATCATAGTTGCAGTGGCATTTGAATGAAGCAATGTTTTATGGTTGTGATATTAGTGATGCAGACAATCATCTTTTTTATTTGTGTTGCCCCCGATGGTGTAATAGAGAGATATTTTCAAACTCCATGAATTGAGTTCCTGTGTTTATGAACGTAAGGCCACAATAACTGGAGGTCAAAAGTTTCTACATTGTTGTTTCATTATGTTTGTTGTTTTTTTACAGCCAAGTAGAAGGGGTAGAGATTGCTTTCCTGGGAACACGGGCTGGACTGATGAGGAAAACTTTTTTTGTAGGAACTGAGCAACTCTCCAATAAGTAAGTGCATTTTGCCAATACAAGAATTCTGGTTTTCTAGATGATACTATAGGATGTAATTCAGAAGCAAATACTATAATTCAGTTACAGATTTGCAGATTTCTGAATTTAATTAAAAGTAAGCTATCATTAACCAAAAATAATTGACACCTGGTAACAATAAACATATATCAGGTTTTTTTAAATTTAATAATAGTGCAACACAGACAGAAAATAGTTGAAAAAAATATTTGGCTGGGGCGGAGCCTGACTGCGAAGCAGCCGCGGGCGCCATGAGCTCCTGCATGACGGGCACCAAACGAGACCATAACAGCAGCCATGAAATCGGGAGACACAACTGGGTGCACTACCCTTATTGGGGAGGCACCACCGAAGCGGCAGACACAATCCCGAAGCCCATCGGCCACAGGGGCACTGGAAACCATATGCGGCCTACTGGTGTTAAAGCTGGGGCGAGACGGCCGCTCTCCCCAGCCCAGAAGACACCAAGCAGCCACAACAGCACCCTACTCCCCGCCCCCCACCCTTGGACCAGAGGGATCCCATTCCCCAAGGGGAAAGCACACTGCGGCAGATGGCAAATTCACCAGCCTTACCGCCCGCGGGGAAGATGCGCCACCAAGGCCCGACCAAGATGGCGGATCGGAGGCAACCAGATCCTAAAATTACACACAAACCCAGACCAACGACAGGGCCCCTGGAGGCTTTTTATAAGTAATGTAGGAGTTTCTGGGCTCTACTCTGTCATCGGGGGCTAACCCACGGTCAAGCAGTGAAAACAGTGGCCCCCTGGATCTGTCCTGCGACCCGGCGCCGACACTATGGGCCCTGCCACGAGCTCCAAGAGCATCCACCCAGCAACTCAACCGCCAGCATCCAATAAAGCGGACGGGGGTGCTGCTCCAAAACAGAACCGTCAGTACATCCAACCTGCCTACCACCCAGCTGTTCCTGCGAACCTCGACCAACAAGACGCCGCCCTGCGCTTGAGACCTCACAAAGCCTACTGTAACGCTGACCTAGTCGCGGCAAGACTGCTCAACGACTGGCGGAACCGGCGAAGAGTCCAACCACGACCCACCGGAGAAGGAACCCCGAGGGGGCACCAACCTTGCCACGCGGATGATTCCAGCACCCGAGAGACTCACACACAGTGCCAGCAGCTCAGCAGAGCAGGCATCGGGTGAGCACTGATGAATCTACACACAGAGGCCTAGACTCTGCTTCCAAGCACCGGACGGGGCTCCTGAGCAGCAGTACATTACAGACACTCAGGGCACCGAGTTATATTGCCCTACTGACTCTCTCTGTCTCATCCCTTCTGCAGCTATCTAAGCAGAGACGGGCGATCTCCACAGAACTCTCGTTATACGTATAGCTCTAATGTTTTTGCTAGTTGCAAGTACTCCTAATCTATGCTTGATATTAATATGTTTTCACATACCCACTAGCTTGCCCCTAGACAGCATGCAACTGGCGGGGACACATAACGTAGCCTGCTCATATGCTTTGCCCTAATTTAAGGTTGCCACATCAGGCTTCAGGCGACTTACATAGTCAGGCAACGGAGGTTCACTCCCACATGAGACACACCACTGCGGGAATCACCTGCTTGGTACAGGATAAATGTTTTCTCCTGAAAATTCAATGCCACGCAACCTCCACCTCAAGCACACCACCTAATGCCAAACACATGACTAGCCTAGTTTTTACGTTCACACACTACCACTGAATCATAGCCTGCTACTCTGCTAACTATATATCAAAATAGGATGTGTTTCGTACAAACTAGCATACCTCCCTATAATGTTGAAGCATGCTATTCCTACCACTCAAATATAGAATTTGTGCAAGTATCTAAGTATACCCCATTGTTACAATTGTTTCCGCAAAAGCACAAGGAATGCCTTCGGGGTACCTCGCGCATGTCTTTTAACTTGAAATGCACTGCAAAAAAAACTAATTTAAAATTATATATATACATATATATTTGGAAGGGATTAAAAGAGACAACCAGCTCCCTCCTGGTTATTTATTTATTACTGTTTTTCCAGTCAATGAATAAGACTCCACAGGCTAATCCCCTAAAACATCAATTCGTTAGAACTTAGATTAAAAGGAATTTGATTTGTTTGACCCACCAAAAACACATTTGCTTTTGACCACTTTGTAGAACAGAACACTGGTAAATCATCCTCAATGTCATCTTACTAAAAAGCATCCTTATGACGAGACCACCACCTGGTGGTAGGAAATAGACGATACGCTAACTCTGTAATGGTTTTAGAGACAACTGTTAGACTTGCAGAGGTTATTTACTAAAGTATGAAATGTTTTCAGTTTGGCCTGAAATTAAACAAAATAACCTTTCATTCATATTGAGTTAAACCTTAAGTGATTAATTTTGAGAGTTGCACATACTTCTTAATGAACTTTCTCTAATTTCAACTTGATAAATTAGACATAGACATCTCCAATTTTATTGAATCTGTATACATGTGTTGATTCTAAAGGTCAGTAGTTTAACCTAACCAGTAAATGTTCATGTTTGCATCACTTTTAGATTTTTTGTAAAGGCCCATTTTATAAAATGCCTGTGGACTGCTGGCCTGTCATATACACATATAATGTTACAGTTCAGATGGGTTCTGTGTGCATAATATAATTAATCTGTTATCTTCAAAAAGCTAGATTATTTCCCCTGCATGTCATATTTTATATCAAGATAAATAATGAATGGTGGCTAAAACTGTTGCAAAAAAATGTTAAATTGGTGAAAATAGAGCATTAGTCATATTTGTACTTCTTGTGTAATTTAAGATACGTACGTATGATCCCTTGCTGACCCCCTTGCTGTACACGTCTGTCAAGGATAAAGGCCACTTGGCATTATTCCCCCCGTACAGTATGTAGAAAGTGAGCTGAAAACAAAATCTCAAAAACTTAAATTTTGCAGCTCCATTACTCGGGTGCTGTAGATGGCTTTTACATTTGGTTTTACCAGGATTGCCTCTATATACACAGAGTATACTTTATACAGATAAAGATTTAAGTTATTTTAAATATGTGTGCTCAGTTTATAGATAACATTGTGCAAGAGACATTTAGATTGGTTTAGACAATGTGTCCACAGCTAAACAAGGTTATGTTCCTTTGTAGGAAGTTCCTGCATTATGAGGAGAAGGAGAGTATTTTTACCATGGATCATTTTCCTCTGTGGTACAGACGGGCTGCAGAGCATCCTGCTGGGAGTTTTGTCTTCCATGTTCCAACAGATGACAACCCAGGTAATGGGGCACTATTTAGCTGTGCTGCTAAAGCATCTGATATTAAAGACCTGAAGCAACTAGAGAATTGTACAACGTTTCAGGAAAGACTAATGTAAAATGTCAATTTAAAACAGTTAGGCACAGAACAAACATTATATACATATATATTATAGTATAGTACATTTTACTAATATAGAAAGACTTGTTTTCCTCTGTTATAATAAAGAATACATTGGGCCTTCTTAGAACATTGAATCTTAGAACATTGAATCTTAGAACCTTAATTTTCTCTTCTTGAGAACGGTGTAAAAGATGATGTTGACTAGAGATAAAGGATGGTGTTCATTATGTTAGCAAGAAAACCCCCAACTACATAGTAACATGTGTTCCCACGCTATACACGAATTGGCTAGGCTCGCAGAAATGTGAAGCTAACCCAAAACGTGTTGCTAGAACACAGCTTAACAACATTGTGTGAATTATGTGAATAGTTTATATCTTTCTCAACAAGAATCTAGAACAGAAATACACCCACAATCTATATGTTATTGGAACAGAAGTTAACCAACAATCCATATGCTTCTAAAACAAAACAATGTCTAAAACTGTTACCAGAAGAGATCCTTTGCCAGAATTGTATGTTAATAGAAGAGAACCATTCTAATGATACAGATACTACTACAACACAATCAGATTCTACATGTTACCAAAACAATCCCAACAATAAATGTAGTCAACAGAAGTGCACCACTACTAGAACAGAGTTGTTAGAACAGATCCAAACGAAGAACTTGTCTATTAATAGAACAGAAGCCCACCCAGAGTCTCTTAGAAGAACAGCACCGGATCCAGAATCGGTTTGTTACGGGAATAGACACCAAATCTGTATTATATAACAACTATAACAAACAAGTCTAGAATATGTATTCGAGAACAGATCGATATCTAGAAAGCACAGAACATTAAAACTAAACTGTAACAAAAACAGACAGAGCTATGTCAAGAATATATTATTTAATAATATAATTATTTACTTAAACAGAACAATGCAATACTTTATAGGGAATGACAGTAGAAAATGCCATGAATCTCTTACAAGAACAAAACATGTCAATACTGGGAGCCGGAGCCCAAAATAAAGAAAATTGTATATTCTGGATTTGGTGAAAATGGCTGTGGACAGATCCAAACATAGCATAGGAGCTAGGTGATCAAAGGGAAAAAAAAATTAATCAGGTTGGTGAATAAGAGTTTAGATTACATTAGCTTAGGGCATTGTAGGATCACAGAGATGGGCTGTCACATACACTGAACAAAATTATAAACACAACACTTTTGTTTTTGCCCCCATTTTTCATGAGCTGAACTCAAAGATCTAAGTCTATCTTTTTATATGTACACAAAAAAGCCTGTTTCTCTTAAATATTGTTCACAAATCTGTCTAAATCTGTGTTAGTGAGCACTTCTCCTTTGCCAAGACAATCCATCCACCTCACAGAAGTGGCATATCAAGATTAGACAGCATGATTATTGCACAGGTGTGCCTTAGGCTGGCCACAATAAAAGGCCACTCTAAAATGTGCAGTTTTACTGTATTGGGAAGATTCGGGGGGGGGGGTCCGAAAACCAGTCAGTATCTGATGTGACCACCATTTGCCTCACACAGTGCAACACATTTCCTTCGCATAGAGTTGATCAGGTTGTTGATTGTGGCCTGTGGAATGTTGGTCCACTCCTCTTCAATGGCTGTGCGAAGTTTCTGTTTATTGGCAGGACCTGGAACACGCTGTCGTATACGCAGATCCAGAGCATCCCAAACATGCTCAATGGGTGATATGTCTGGTGAGTATGCTGGCCATGCAAGAACTGGGATGTTTTCAGATTCCAGGAATTGTGTACAGATCCTTGCAACATGGGGCCGTGCATTGTCATGCTGCAACATGAGGTGATGGTCGTAGAGCTATGGCACAATAATGGACCTCAGGATCTCGTCACGGAATCTCTGTGCATTAAAAATGCCTTCAATAAAATGCACCTGTGTTCATTGTGCATAACATACGCCTGCCCTTACCATAACCCCACCGCCACCATGGGCCACTCGATCCACAACATTGACATCAGCAAACCACTCACCCACATGACGCCATACATGCTGTCTGCCATCTGCCCTGTACAGTGAAAACCGTGATTCATCCGTGAAGATAACCTCTCCAAAATGCCAGACACCATTGAATGTGAGCATTTGCCCACTCAAGTCGGTTACGACGACGAACTACAGTCAGGTTGAGACCCCAATGAGGACGACGAGCATGCATATGAGCTTCCGTGAGACGGTTTCTGACAGTTTGTGTAGAAATTCTTTGGTTATGCAAACCGATTGTTGCAGCAGCTGTCCGGGTGGCTGGTCTCAGTTGATCTTGGAGGTGAAGATGCTGCATGTGGAGGTCCTGGGCTGGTGTGGTTACACGTGGTCTATGGTTATGAGTCCTGTTGGATGTACTGCCAAATTCTCTGAAACGCCTTTTGAGACGGCTTATGGTAGATAAATGAACATTCAATTCACGGGCAACAGCTCTGGTGGACATTCCTGCTGTCAGCATGCCAATTGCACGCTCCCTCAAAACTTGCAACATTAAAACTGCACATTTTAGAGAGGCCTTTTATTGTGGCCAGCCTAAGGCACACCTGTGCAATAATCATGCTGTCTAATCAGCATCTTGATATGCCACACCTGTGAGTTGGATAGATTATCTCGGCAAAGGAGAAGTGCTCACTAACACAGAATTAGACAGATTTGTGAACAATATTTGAGAGAAATAGGCCTTTTGTGTACATAGAAAAAGTCTTAGATCTTTGAGTTCAGCTCACGAAAAATAGGGGGCCAAAACAAAAGTGTTGCATTTATAATATTGTTCAGTGTAGATACAGGATACACTAGAAAAGTGTTAAGACAGCACTTTAAAGATGCAGAAACCCTAAATTACAATCTGAACAGGGGAGCAGGAATGTGCATACAGGACTAAGCCTGGAGCGGAAGGACAAGGATAACAAGTAAACAAATTTAGCAAGTAAACCCTCAGCAAAAGAGCGGGAAGACATGGCAAGAGCATTATAAAGGGTGAAATCAGAGGATAAATATGGATACGTATAACAGTACAGAACACAGGGGACTGGTGCTAAATGTGCAACCATATATGTGCACAAAATGGCCTGCATGTTTTAATGACCAGGGAATCAGTACACACGCACACTTCTGAGAGCTATGATAAAGATATGTGCAAGTCACTCACACTCGACAGTTTCACAACATATTTAAGACTTGTCAGTGTACCGAGAATTTATAGAACCATCCAAGAGCCTACATGTTGCTAGAACATAAATATAGTCTGAATCCATGTGTTACCAGACCGGATTCACACCGCAATTCTCCATATACTTATATATCACTAAAGAAGATCTACCTGAACAGAACCACTCCAAGAATCTCAATTACTAGAAAAGACCCATGTCTTGAATCTGGAATTTACCTCAGTCGCATCCAGAATCTTTAAGCTATGTGAACATATTCATATCCAGGTCTTACAACTAGCTAGAACATATCCAGAATATATTTTGCTGGCACGAACCATATCCTGAAAAGCATGTTAGTAGAATGGAGACATAAAATCTGTTGGAAGGAGGCTGTTTTTATAATGTGTTTATTGAATATCATTCCAGACTACATTCTTATTATAACTTGTTATACCCTTAAGCATGGAAATTCTCTCCACCAAGTCCTGTTGCAAAGGATATTATTTTTCTCAGCCTCCTACCTCCCTTCCATCTTACAGATCATAATCCCAGCGAGAACGACATTGGTGAGCCCCCTCTCCAGCCAAGCATCCCGGATGAGCAGATTCTTCAGGGTATCTCTAGTAATTCCACCTTGTTCACTCAACTGAATGTCATGCCTATACAGGCATTTTAGCCTGCCTGACATAGCTATGCCATCTTCACTTCTCAAACCCCAAGTCCACTTTCCAATGCCTCGCATAACCCATAAATTCTAGAGAGATGTGTTCCATTCATGCCACAGCCCAGCAAGCTGGTATCATGGCATCCTGACATGGGAACGCATAGCATCCTCACATTCCTCCTTGTGGACATCATAGCTATATTCCTGCTCATATGTTATCATTCATTCATGTTGCACATAGAGCGCAAGGAATGCTTATAAGCACTGGTTAATACTCTGTTTTTTTTTATTAGTATTGATTGATAATTGATGGGGTTTCTTCCCAGATTGCAGATTGTTTCTGTTTTCCGACGCTGTTTAGAATCACTAGCAAGCCAAAATTGCTTGTGTTTTTTGTTTTGTTTTTTTAATTACATTTTTTAGTGAATGCGGGTTCTGTGCCATCAAGAACGTTTATATCTCAAATGGGCTATTGTTCCCTGTGGCAGCAGTCATGCTGTCTGTAAGGACTCCTGGGAAAAAGCAAAATCAGGAAAAAAGACATTGATGAATTCAGGTCCAATTCAAGAGTCCATTCATTGTCCTTTTTCTAAATAGATCCTAGAATACATAGCATTGACATAGAAAGCCAACCATTGGCACCAGAATGCCGTTTCCTGTGGTTAGTTAAAGTGTTTGCTTAGTGGATGTATTCCTATGGATTAAGTGATTCCTTTGGAAACTTATGTGTCCTGGCGGCTGGATAAGGAGTAGTAAGGCAAAAAATAGAATTTTGAACATGACAATTATAGTGGTAATAATTATGGTATGTTATTATTCAGGCTTTGCCATGCAAGACACTGTAAAGCACATTGCTGCTTCCTTACGGTAGATGCAATATAATAATTCTAAATTCTGTTAAAACAACTTTGTTGTTTGTGAGATGAAACAATATATTAAACACTTGATTGAGCTGACTTTCTGACAGCCTATTGATCAAGGTTTGAATGCGGCCGACTGATTAAAGATTTATCGTATTTGGAAAAACAAATGTGTTTTGCTAAATCTAAACTAAAATGTGTCAAGCAAGGCTTGCTGAAATGCTAAGTGCCATAAAACTGTAAATTTGTAACATACTCATTCTCCCGCTTGTTTTAAAAGCTTTCTTTACAGAGTAACACACAGCGGATGGCTAAATAATGTTATTTCAAGAAAGCGTGTTACCGTTTCAATTTGGTTTAATCGCATGTCAAAGTAAGGATAAGGGATTTTTTCACGCTTGATATGTAAAAGCACGATTTTAAGTTACCTTGAAGCCCTGCAATGGTTTGATTATAACTTTTCCAGCTGAAATTCCAACAGAATTTCAGAAGATGCCATAACCTTCAAGTAGCTTAGAGATCGTTAGTAATTATATAGGAATTGCGGTCAAATAACTGGGGACTATTGCAAGATCTTGGTCATGGAAAAAACACCAACATATAATTTTATTTCTTTGATCCCCAAGTATATATGAGGTTTAAAATTAAAATACCATGTGAGGTATAAGACAGTATGCAATACGTGCGTCTCTGAGACAAATGTAATTGTGATTTAAAAGAATCTATAATCAAAAGTTCATTTTGACCCATGACAATTTGTCATACACAGTCTGTGAATTCTCAAGACAGAGATTCACTAAATTTAACTTTGGTGACTAGCATAATATCTAAACTCATCATGTTTTGTCTACATTTAATAAATAGAATAATGTGATATGTTCATATGCCCAGCCACTACCTCCAACATGGGATTAATGTAGGGTGACTTGTCAAATTGGGGATTCACTGAACACTCACAGCTAGTTCTATGGTGTTTCCCTGAGTTAAACACCTAAACGTTGTTTACAGTGTGAACATGGAGCGTAAAAATTGGATTAATCCGTTCTGCTGGAAGAAGTCCAAACAAATATAAACACATGAAGCTTTAAATGCATGGTCTCACTTGGTCACAAAGCAGACCTGTCATCTGAAACAGAATTCACATTAATAAGCAAAGCATTTAAAAAGTGTTACTTTCTTTTAAAAAAAAATACCAAACTGTATGAGGTATTAATATTTTTTAATTTAATGTTTTAAAAGGTGTCCAAGCTTTGGTGTCATTTGTTTATGCCAGCCTTTCACTCGTTGATTTACTGTAATGTCAAAATGATCTCCAAATATTCACTGAGAAAAAATGCAACTATACAGAAAGTCAGGCAGGGTGAAAAAGACTCTAGACCCAATGGTTGTGCATCCTGCTGTGCACAGGGAGACAAACATGGCAGCCTGTTCTTGATTTCTATTTTCCTTCTTGTGTCGCATGACGATACACTTTTTTTGGTGGTCCACTATAGTCTAGCACTGATATTGCCCCATGTGCAGCTCACCTAACATGCAGGAATAATCCATCCATTGCTTCCTTACCATGTAATGATAAGACATGCTTCATCCGATGCAGCAAAGTCTCTAATACAGTATACTGCCATTATACTGTATAGAGCAAACTCAGATGCAGTGTCACAGAAATAATCTCTGAATTCTTTTCTCCCTCCCTCACCTTTTGGGACCAGCTTGCATCTACTACCTGCTGCTTCATATCACCTGCTATGTTATTTCCCAATCTCTTTCTTTCCAGGAATTAAAATGCAGTTTTGGGAGGAGGGGGAGCGGCATTATTGTGGGAGTGACTTTTTTATGTTCAAGCGGTACTCAATAAATATTCTTCCAAGTAAATGAGTTTTATATCAATGCAAAGTCTGGTGACCAGCTGCCCTCCATTTGATGATGGACTGCGACTCCCACAACTTTAAGCCAATCTTTATTTACTGAAGGGTGGTATGTGTCAAAATCTGTCCCCATATGGAGGCCGAGAGGTTATCTCGCAGTTTAGTAATTGGTTGTTGCAAAAATGACTTTTCATTTCTTAAATTACTTATCATTGAAGCTGCAATTTCAACCTCGTTAACAAGCAGTTCTCATTATAGCTGTCATATGCCTTTCAAGTATTGGGACTTTCTTGGACTAAGGTTAGGCCCTATTAATTGTGGGGTGCTTTAGTAAACACATTCTTTGGGGCTATTAGTGGTAAAATGTAGACTTTAAAATACATAAACAGAAATCTATTTCCACTTAAAATACAGGTTTTATGTCTTTTATGGGAAAAATATGGGCATTTGCCCACACCATACAGCTGCATTGTGCTAAGCCCAACATTGCATTAACATCTCCTGTTCATGGATCTTAATCTACTTTTATACATTCAAAATTCTGTCTGCATTTTTCATTGTATCCACTGGAGCTTAGCCAATGTTCATTGCCTTAAAGAAAAATATGAAATTTATTAGACACCAGTATTTTTTTGCCACAAGAAAAACTAGATGAGGAGAGAACTGTCCAACAAACCTGTGTGTGTCCCAATCAATTGTGAGAGGCAAATGCCAATCCGTAATAAATTCTGTTTGTCTTTTCAGAAGGAGGTCCCAAGCCAGAAGTGGTAACAGTCAGCACAGCCATATCTGTCACTGTGCACAACAAAACAGCCATTGCCGCAGGTAGGACACACTCTGTATGTTGTATGTGAAGAATATAGGATGGTTGCCTTTGAAACAGATTTACTGTAGGTTGATGATATATGATATTGATATGTGACTACTGTGCCTGGATGACCTCATCTCCCTTTCAAGGTGGGGTACGTTTCTGGAAAATGTATCGTTACAAATACTTCACCATGCAAAACTGTTTCTTAAACATACTCTAAAAGACCACAAATGTTCCTTCTTCTATTGGTATGCTCATTTGAATGGAATTGGATTACCTTTAATTTCAAGGTACAGTGAGGGAAAAAAGTATTCGATCCCCTGCTGATTTTGAACGTGTGCCCACTGACAAATAAATGATCAGTCTATAATTTGAATGGTAGGTGTATTTTAACAGAGAGAGGCAGAATAACAACAACAACAAAATACAGAAAAACGCATGTCAAAAAAGTTATAAATTGGTTTGCATGTCAATGAATGAAATAAGTATTTGACGCCTTCGACTTAGTACTTGGTGGCAAAACCCTTGTTGGCAATCAAAGAGGTCAAACGTTTCTTGTAGTTGGCCACCAAGTTTGCACACATCCCAGGAGGGATTTAGTCCCATTGCTCTTTGCAGATCCTCTCCAAGTCATTAGGTTTTGAGGCTGACATTTGGCAATTTGAACCTTCAGCTCCCTCCTCAGATTTTCTGTTGGATTAAGGTCTGAAGACTGGTTAGGCCACTCCATGACCTTAATGTGCTTCTTCTTAAGCCACTCCTTTTTTTGCCTTGGCTGTGTGTTTAGTATCATTATCATGCTGGAATGCCCATCCACAACCCATTTTCAATTCTCTGGCTGAGGGAAGGAGGTTCTTACCCAAGATTCGATGGTACATGCCCGTCCATTGTCCCTTTGATTCGGTGCAGTTGTCCTGTCCCCTTAGCAGAATAACACCCCCAAAGCATGATGTTTCCACCTCCATGTTTGACGGTGGAGATGGTGTTCTTGGGGTTATAGGCAGCAATTCTCCTCCTCCAAACACGGTGAGTTGAGTTGATGCCAAAGAGCTCAGTTTTGGTCTCATCTGACCACAACACTTTCACCCAGTTCTCCTCTGAATCATTCAGATGCTCATTGGCAAACTTCAGACGGGCCTGTACATGTGCTTTCTTGAGCAGGGGGACCTTGCGGGTGCTGCAGGATTTCAGTCCTTCACAGTGTAGTGTGTTACCAATTGTTTTCTTGGTGACTATGGTCCCAGCTGAGACCTCCGGTGTAGTTCTGGGCTGATTTCTCACCGTTCACATGATCATTGAAACTCCACGAGGTGAGATTTTGCATGAAGCACCAGACCGAGGGAAACTGGCCATTATTTTTTGTTTCTTCCAATTGCGAATAATAGCACCAACTGTTGCCACCTTCTCACCAAGCTGCTTGGCTATGGTCTTGTAGCCCATTCCAGCCTTATGTAGGTCTACAATCTTGCCCCTGACATCCTTGGACAGCTCTTTGGTCTTGGCCATGGTGGATAGTTGGAATCTGATTGATTGCTTCTGTGGACAAGTGTCCTTTATATAGGTAACAAGCTGAGATTAGGAGCACTCCCTTTAACAGAGTGCTTCCAATCTCAGTTCGTTACCTGTATAAAAGACACCTGGGAGCCAGAAATCTTGCTGATTGATAGAGGTTCAAATACTTATTTCACTCATTGACATGCAAATTAATTTATAACTTTTTTGACATGTGTTTTTCTGGATTTTTTTGTTTCGTTATTCAGTCTCTCGCTGTTTAAATACACCTGCCATTAAAATTATAGACTGATCATTTCTTTGTCAGTGGACAAACGTTCAAAGTCAGCAGGGAATTACATTCTTTTTTACCATCACTGTATTCTTCATGAAAGGGAACAAGAAAGGCTGCTGAAGGTTGACTGATTCTATCACGTCTGCCTTGGATCTGCACACAATTATATATTGGCCAAAATCAGCAGGGGATCAAATACTTTTTTCCCTCACTGTAGATAGTGGCCTTTAAGGACCAGATTGAAGATCATCATCGTGCAAGGTAGCATTACATTTAAATGTGTTACTCTTACACACTTTGAAAAAGCTCATTTTGGCAAATTAAACTGTCTTAAGTGTTCATGTACAAGTGTTCATCAGGGTCTAGCATTTACCAGTACAAGTTAGCCAGTAGGATGTACTCTGAATAGGGCTAACATTATCTGTCCTACTGCTATACCTTTGTGTGTATAAAACCATCAACTGCAAAACAAGTTGAAATAATATTTCTGCCTATCTACATATACTACTGGTGTAGATTTCACTTTTGTGTAAACCTAGTGTTTTTTGTAAACTGTTAAAATGAATATAGCCAATGAAAACCTACACATGTGATTACCACATCATTGGCTGCCAACGAGTATTTGGACCATTATAAAAAAAATGTTCCTCTGTACAGAAGATGGAGACACTTTTACTGAGAATAACACAATCTATGCATATTATGTGTGGAAATGATTACAGTATTACCTCAGATTTTATAGTAATGGTGTGTGGAAGTTTTTCCATCCTATTATGACTTTGAAAGACAAAGTTATAGGCACAAGAGGTATAAATAGCGCAAGGTTTACCAGGATTGTTAAATCATCTCTGTGCCCCATAAGGTAGGTGTACAGCTTTACGCGGGCTTCACGTCACCAATGTGGCCATAAGAATGCTATTGACATTTGGGTTGAGTTATGTAAACAATGACATAAGAATGATTTGACCGATTAATTTATAAGTTAAGCTGCATCATTAATTATGCATGAACAATGCGAATCCCAAGGCATGAGTTACATAAAAAATGGCACAGGGTTGACACTCTTCATGAACATTTGAGTGTAGCGTCAATAATGAGATTAGAATGACCCAACCCCAGAGCAGTGTTAATGCCATTAAAATGTGGTGTAAAAAATGAGACCATGTTGAAGAGAACTGGCTCCAGCATGCATGATAGTACCACCCACATGGCAGGAAGCTACTGGCTTATGTGGAAAATGGCAATGAAAATGCGAGCCAGACTGGGTGCAGTGTCCTCAGTGTCTGAAACCTATGACCACTCTTGGCTGTAGCCTTTCCAATAATACATTGTACCTCATATTCCTCCTGCTTCTCTACACTCACTGAAGTAGGCGTAGATATACACACAAGAGGTCGGAAGACAGCAACAATTGGCAAAACTCTTCTGGGATATGGCCGTTCTATTCAGGATGTCCTGTACTTACTTCCATATAGACTGTACATTGGCCTTATCTGAGAATATCCTGGGAAGGGCACTGGGCTAAAATCAGTAGGCAACAATGAAAACTATACCCATAGACCCATGAGGTCAGTGAAGTAAGCCAGTCCAATCATCCTGATGCAGAGATGAGAAACAGCACAAGTATTGTTGCTGAACTGGTTGGCACACTCTGCAGCTCCATTAGTCTAAAGATGGTCGGTGTAAGATAAGGAAAGGTTAATACCAATCTCAGAGAAGAACTCCCACAAAAACAGGAAGCAAACTGGGTGCCCCAATAAGATCAAATTTCCTTAAATATTGGGTCTAAACACCTCTTTGGCAAAGATGCCAGCCAGTTGTTCTGAGGATGGTAGTTTCTTAACAGGTAAAAATTGGGCCATTTTGTAGAAACTGTCAACAATCACAAGGATGACTGAGTTGCCTTCAGTTTGAGGCAAGGTTGGCAATAAAATGAATGGTCAATAACTTGGAGGGTACAGATAATGACAACAGTAAGACATATGGTATTTGTGTAGAAGACTTAGACTGCACACAAACCTGACAGGCTTCAACAATATCAGTAACATCCTTTCATAAGGATGGTTACCAATAAGTCAATATAGCTTTATAGGTTTTGTTAATACTAGATGGCCTGCTGTTTCGGAGCAATGGTATAAGAACAACACCTCTAGCTCATCGTTATCTGGAACAAATAATTTATCAGGGGAACTTTCAGATGGAGCTTGGTCTTTATAAGATTTAATTATCTCTAGTAAGTCTAAAGATCAAGTGGTACATGTGACTGCAGTTATTTGTTCTGAGGGATAATAGGAACGACCTCTGTCTGTTCTACATCAAGAGACTCAAGTTGTCTAGATAAGGCATTAGCTTTTGTGTTACAGTTAATGTTTGGTAATTGCGATGTAGGACAGATTTTTGCAATCCGTGACACACAGACAAGTTATTTGAGAAGAAACAACAAGGATAAAGGTGCTGATCATGTGCTGCTCTTTGAGACAAAACTGCACCCCCTTCAGATTCAGATTCACCAACAGATTTGAAGGGATCTGGATGGACTAAGATTTCTGCAATAGAGAAGGCGGATTTAAGCTTCTTGAATGCAGCAAGTGCTTCAGGTGTCCATTTATGTGGATTAACACCTTTCTTAGCAATGATAGTGGAGAAGTTTTTGCGAGGTTGCTGCAAAGGCCATGAAACAACAGCATCCAGTTTAGAGGGATCCTCTTAGAACCTGATTGTTCTAAAATGTTGATGTTGATTGGTAAGGTAAGGAGAGTGGATTAATGTGTCATTTAGATAAAGAGAACATAATCCGTTAGTAATTCACTGAAGACATCTTAATGAGATAGTGGAAGTTACAATACCTAAATGGCATGACCAGATATCCATAGGGCCCACTATGTGTGTTAAGGGTGTCTTCCATTCATCCCTCACAGATGTTAACATGATTTTAAGCTTCCCTGAGATCAAGTTTGGTAAAAGCCTTTGAACCTTTGAGGTGATCAAATGATTTGGTTAGGAGCGGAATAGGATAGGCATTCCTAATGGACAATTAAGACCATATAATCAATAGAGGGTCTGATATCACCCTCTTTTTTTAGACACAAAAAGAAAACGAGGATCTTCTAAAGAAAGTTCTTGGCTACACCATCTTGAATATATTTCTCCATGACAAGTTACCTTTAAGAAAGTGGATATACTTCCCAATGGGTGACATTGTGACAGTAAGCAAATCAATTGCACAATCGTAAGGGCAATGAGTATTGGGCAGTCATAGTATTGCGAAGGGACAGAAATAGGCAACAGCAGTATGAACATTAATAACATGCAGTGGTTATACGATATAAGGTATTTCTGGTGACAGCTGTAACCCCAAATAGCAATCTTCAGGTTCACAGGCTGGTATTTTAAACTGTTATTTTATGTTTGGCCTGCAGGCAACATAATTTACAATTGATTATAAAACTTTATAAATTTTACGGGTAGTGTATCTGTATGTATTTGTTTTAATTAGTGGGAGCTCACCTGTGGCCAAAGAACAAGGATTAAGATTCCAGTGGCGCCCTATGGAAGCTACCAGTTTGTGCCCCCCTTCATTTTTCACATATGGATGGTTAATGGGGCCAAGAAACTTCATGGTTCCAGGATCCCTATCTAACCCATGGCCATAGGCAGCTGCTATGGTTAGCTAGTAATGCAAAGTTTTGAAATAATTTTCTGCATTGAAGTTTTTTTTCTGCTAATTCACTGCACATAAAATCCAGAGTGTTATAAATTTGATCCCTGCATTGTGATGCGGTCTTGTGGTGGCTGATGTGGCAAAAAAATATTTTATGTTCATTCAAAATTTAAACTTGGCTGCCAGAATGAAGAACAAAGTACTTAACCTCTAGGTTATATGGCAACATACAAACATACCATTTCAATACCAGCAATAGGTTTGTCTGGCCATCCTAAATCCTTACCACCAGCCACTGGTTTTAGTACAACCGTTTTTCAAAAGAATGCCTGTCCCATACTAAATTATGTATTTCTGTGATCTAAATCATAGTTGCCCATATCCTGCATTTATAAATTCTGGCTATCTAAATCTTGTATTTACCATCATTTTATACTGACCTAAGTACTTATATATAGATACTCAGGGTGCTTATGAGGGACATGCTTGTTCATCTTTGTGTATATATGCTGATTATGAGCATGCATGAACATATTAGAAAGGTCAACAAGGAGTTCTTCTGGTGGTGGTTGTTTTTAGCAATATGTGTTGGATCTTCATATCCCAGATGAGATTCATAGATCATCAACAGTGAGCTGTTTGAAAGCACACAGCATAATGCAGTACAAAACACAGGTGTTTGTCTTACTAGCAACACTGTGATGGAGATACAGTATTTCCCTTAATAAATGCTTATTAGCTTGCATACTCTTCTGCTTACTATTCCTGAATCACTGGTTATGTTGTATACAAACATTGTGGGGGCAGACCATCTGGGTGAAAACCATATAGAATTGTATTAAAGCTGTGTTCTACGAAATTAACATAGTGACCACCATGTTCTAATCTATAAATTATATATTATTCTTGTTTATATATCTTGACTACTCCATTCCTCTTGAGAAAATCCAGTCTAAAAAATCTTGCAACTTGCCTTTGAAAATTTGTCAAATTCTTATTGCATTCATTGTAGAATTTCACCTAGTGAATTTTACAATTATGGAACTTATAAATTGATTTGCCTTGGGAGCTTACTGATGAGGCCAAACCAAATGTCTGTTTGCCTTTGTTCAAATGCCTTTTATTTTAGACTGTGTCTTCCATCAGACTAAAATGATATATGATATTCCTCCTATGCGACTGTAAAGACCTAAAGCCTTTACTTTATGTATCAAGAAAAACAGATATGATCGAAAGGTAGACATTGGAACAATATTGGTTTTACAAGAAAGATTGGGATGTGCAGTATAATCTTCCAGCAGAGAAAGTGAAATCTACAAAAGTTAAATAATTCAAAGGGTTACTTAACCAGAATGAAAAGTGTTTTTTTTCTGTCCTCCCCCCACCCCCACCAGAAATAAAGAAACTAATATAGTCAAAAGAGAAGGAGAAAGCACTTTCATGGTGCTCCATAAGTATATATTAAAGAACTCAAAGCACACAGGCGTTTCAGGTCCCCGCACCCTTTGACATGCATGTGTTCAGTTGAATATTCAGATGAATAATTTAATTGCTCCATTTAACATCAACCAAAAGTCTTGCTGTTAGCCCATATAGCAGATGCCTGATATTTATTATAGTGTTTCAATAGTCATACTGTATGACTTCTCTCTCTCTCTCTCTCTCTCTCTCTCTCTCTCTCTATATATATATATATATATATATATTATTATTAATCGTATAACTCTTCCAGTTGTCCATATATTGTTTCTTTTTTCGTCCTCTGCCAATTGCAATTTGTGTTTTTTTTTCTTCCTATATTACGTTCCCCTGTGGTGCTGAACATCTTGGCGGATTTCCCAGAAAGAGGTTCCTTTGCTGCTCAGTCCCAGATGCTGTGGGTTAGAGGCCATGCTGTTGAGTGTCTGTATGTGGAATTCTCCTGCCTGGCACACAGTGCTGATGTTATAGCTCTATATTAGCTGGAGGCTTTGCTGTTCCCACCGCTCACTAAGTGTCACATCACATCAGATATATGTCCTGTGCGTGTACTCTAGACTCCTGTCCTCACGGTGTGTGATGCCAGGAAGAGACATGGGGATGTCTGATATGTTCTAGCTGTGGAACAGTTCTGGAACCAGATACTACTGGCCAGGAGATTTATCTGACTCTCAAGAGAAGCAGAGCTGGCTTTCTTGACTTTTGGTTAAAGCCAAGTTAAGCCCTCTTTTCCAAGAAACGGGACCTAACATACAGAGAGTGTGTCCTATTGTTAAAGAGTGTATGTCACTCTGATTGAAACCCATTTTCTTTGTGTGACCTTGTCCACCTCAAGCTTGCGATAGTGAGCTTTACTTGTGAGGAGCAGAGTGTCAGAGTAGGATTTCTCCCTCTAAGTTTGACTCATTGTCAATAATTTGCCCTAACCTTTGCTTGGGTTTGTTCCTTTTAGTAGGTCTGCGTCATATTTTGTGATTGAACATATAGGAGTAATATAACTGGCATCGCAAAAAGAGCAACATCAGTGCACCAGAGGGACACACAAGGGATGTCCTAGGGCTTAACCCTACGTATAAAAAAAACCCAACAAAACGCAAAGTCTCAACAAATGAGAAAGTGCTACCAGGTAAACTAAAAAAATTATAATATTTACCAGTAAATACTTATCTACTATTACAGATACGGTAATTGTTTTTTGTTTGTTTTTAGTTTGCAGGTTTTTTCTCCTTTCATTACCAGGCACTTTCTTATTTTTTTGCGATTGTTCGTTTTGTTGACAAATCGTTTTGTTGTCCTCAGTCAGCACAATGAGTGTGTTATGGGAAGGTATGTTTGTTGTGCCTAATCATTAAATTCATGAAGCACCAATATCCAAAAAGTAATAATCAATTACCTAATAAGGTTTATAACGATATTGGCGGGCACACAACCCAGTTCGAGATGAGTGTCTTGGGCTATAGGAAAAAGAAACCACACAGAGACCAAGTTGCAGATAAGAATTCACACCACACTTTATTGTCCACAAGGGGACCCAATACAGAGTAAGCTTAACTCTCATTAAGTAGTTGCATGCATTCACTTCAAAACAGCTTAGTATCTAGATATATCAGCTTAAGTATACATCACCATTAGAGGGGCTTGGTTGTGTCCTCACTGCACGTGACCGGGGAAACTCTGGCAGTCAGCTTGGAGGGACCCTCTCTGGGAACAGCAGAGACCAACAACACGCGTCCGCATTACAGGTGGGTAGTTCTCCCCCTGAGTGCCAAGTTTCTCCGTCTTTTATACCTTTTAGCAAGTTTGTAACTTTTCCAAGATTTCTTATCAGTGCAGCCCAGCATGTATCTTGTCATGTGCATTAGGTCATCAGTATGGTTGATCAGGCCAGTCGTGACCACCCAAGGCTCATGCCAGACACATGCGGTATCTTATCTATCTATGTCCCTACTCTTATCTCTCCATACATTTGTTGGCACCAATTCCCTCTGTTCAGCAGTAGGCCTTTTTGGATATTGGCCAGACATGCTATGGAATATTCCAGGCAATGTTGAATTTCTTAGTGCGACACAGTTTAAGCATTTTATGCAATGTCATCATAGCTGAATTTCTTAGTGCGACACAAGTTGAATTTCTTAGTGCGACACAGTTTAAGCCAGGTGCCATCTTAACTATCTATGATAGATTAATTTGCTCATTAGTGATCAATCAATCATTCTTAATTAGTTAATTGGATTTTATCACAATTATCACAATGTTGGTGTCCTGATGTCTGTGTTCCCATTTCTATGTTTAGGATGAAAAGCATATGTCCTGATGTCTTAGTATGAGGAAGAGAGGCTTGAATCTGGTATCCTTGCATTAGGAGTGAGTGACATGTATCAGATTTTTGATGTCAAGTTTTTTGACTACAAAATGTTTGTCACTCATATAGACCCACTTCAAATAACTCCAATTAATGTCAAATATGTATTTTCTTTGCATTTATGTGATTGTAGTGCTGATAGGGAACAGCAACTCGTACATGACTGCAGCTGTGCAAGAGATTATTTTTCAGTTATGTTACTGCAGTTACCTCCCTTTTTTTGTTTACGTCAGAAAGCACTGCTTTGATTGCCTCCTGCTGTCTTTGCTGCAAATGATCGCTCCCAATGTCTGTGTACTATGAGGCGATAAAAGGTTTATGTCCTCCTCTCTGTGTTCGGTGTTAGTGAGACGTTCTGATCTCTTTGTATTAGGCAGTCAATGAGTGGTCTATGGCCTTATAGTTGTGTACAAATAGAAGATGAGAAGGTGATACTTGTTCTATTTTCTGTTTGTTAAAGGGACACTATAAGCACTAAGACAACTTCAACTTATTGAAATGGTCTGTATGCACTGTACATGTCCCCTTAACTCTGCAATTTAAATCATTGCAGATTCGGAGAAACTGTAATGTTTATATCGCAGGGTTAATACTGCCTCTAGTGGCTATCTACCACACAGCCACTAGTGGCACTTTCTTCTGTTTCACAGAGTTTACACAGGACATTCTGACACTGTGCATGAGGACATCCAGCGTCTTCAAATCCTCATAGGAAAGCATTGACTCAAGTCCTAATGCATATGCGGCACTCGCTGCTCATGCGCAAAAGGTTCCCCCTCTTTGTTAACGTTGGTGGAGGTGGAGACTGAGTCAGTGCAGGAGAGGTGGGGGGAGTAGTTTTAGGAACATAGTTTTGTATTCCTAACAGTATAGTGTTCCTTTAAGACAATTTATAAGAAATATGTGTCCTGCTGTCTCTGTGTTATGGAGCATTCTGAGATCTGTGTAATGGATAGTAATGCTGATGCCTGTGTATTAGGTGTAGGTGAGAGATTATTTGATTACATGCCATGTACATGCTGCCGGTAAGCTCCAGGTGCACACAGTTCCTCCATAAAGCTCTGTAATCATGACATTTCATCATCATTGGTTATTGTTAGGGCATGGAATTCCCCGTTACCTGGGTCTCCTTCGCCCACTTTGCTGCAATTTCCGCTGCCTCGTTCTGCACAATACAGTGGAAACCCCCCTCATTTTATCACACAGTTGAAGTGGGGCAGTCGGGGGTTGCCATGGTGATGGCTATGCTTGCGCCTTCTGAGTCACTTTGCCAGCCTGATGAAATGTCTATGCTGCTCTGGTGGCACCTGCACAGTGTGAGTTAACTCCTTCAGTGCCAGCGGCATGCTCTGACTGTAGGCAAATGTCCTTTTACGGTATGCTGGCACAGCCCTGTCCCATTCCTTAAAGCAAATCCTCTGCATATTTCTTCGCCACTCATTAATATTCTTTTATCATTAAAGTCACTAACGCCCTGCAGCTTGTTTTTCTCTCAGCTAAGAATTTCCATACAAACTGGATTCTGGTGACTTTTGTAGGAGGGAAGCGTAGACTTCGAAATGTTCTCCTGCTAGACTCCTGGAAACACAGCATTTAAAAAAAAATATTCCAGTAGCAACATGATCAGGTGATCGTACTTTATATAAAGGATACAGGCAGTTTATATTAGGTTTAATGAAGGTTTGAGATGTGTACGAAATCAGTGATATTTTTGCACAAGGGTTTTTAGACTGTTACTCCCTGTTTTTTTTTTTTTCTGCCAGTAAGTTCTTACGACAGCATTTGAGGGTCACAGTTTGGTTGAACACATTTTAAGTTATATGGCGTGTGGGCTGCATATGGTCTTCAGGAAATTTTGCACAGCCTCTATGCAGCAAAGGACGATTACATGGTAAATTGTACTACGTAATGTATTTAAATAATGCCCAAGCAATGCTTTAGAATTCTAATCATTGGGGCAGAAGAGGAGATTAGAGTATGGGTTTCTGTAGGAACATTGCTTAGCAATAATGCTTTTAACATACACGGTATGTTTTTGATACAGACTAACACAGTGTGACTAGCTTTAGAAGCATAGGCCTACAGCATTAATTAAATAGAAATGTTGAAAAAGAGAAACATCTAATGAATGAAACAAATGGATTATATCTCACAGACCTAAATGACAATGAACATTACCAAAGGTTTAAAATTACAGTTATATACTTATAGTGTATATGCTGGGGAAAACAAACCTAAAGGAACACTCCCATGTACCATAACAACTACAGCTCATTGTTGTGGTAACCGTGCCAGGAGTGTCCAAATGCCTTCCCACAATACGTGGGCAAACACTTTAAGAACATTTTGACAACTTACCTGGGTTCTGCCTGGTGCCAGTTGACCCTCTGTGTCCCTAAAGCCTCTGCACTGAGCTAGACATGGCATTACGTAGCTTGCTTGCTCTGCTAATGCGGTCAGCCAATGAACTGCCCTACTGGCAGGACTTAGCTCAGTGGAGCTAATAGATGCTTCTAGCAGGAGCTTCCGACTCCACAGTTTGGTATGCACAAGTTACTGGCTCCTGGCCAACTCCAGTTTAATTGTCAAATAGTTCTCAAATGGTTTGACTACTTTCCCTGGAAAATATGGTGCTTTAGAGTATTTGTATTTTATTTTTTGGGGGGTAGTCTTAGTTTTTTTTATTTGAATTTTATTTGGATTTGTACAAAGGTACACATCTTATTCAATATATGTAATTAAAGGTAAAGAAAAATAAGACATAGAAAGACATCGACAATGATAAGGAGTGACAAGCGTTACAGGCATTATTAGGTTATTAGGTAAACTAGTAAATATCTTAACTGTACAACGTAGTCAGATGTTAGCAGAGGTGTTAATTATAATACGTTAGAATATATTCGATTTCTAGACTATTTACCTTGGAAAATCAAACTATACCAAGCTCAGTAATCATACGATGGTCTTAAAATTTAAATATCCCCATAGATTATAAAGATTGGTTGAGATCTATCAGATTAACCAACAATCTGATACATTGTATAAATATAGTCAAAGTTCAATTTAAATTTATGCATAGGTGGTACCTAGTTCCCTCAAAACTAGCAGCTATGTACCCTCATCACTCTAACAGATGTTGGAGGTGTGGAATTAGGGAAGGTTCTCTTTTGCACATTTGGTGGGAGTGTGATTATGGTTACTGGTTTTCAACAAGCTGAAAACATTTACTAAACTCAATTTAGAAATAAGAGCAGAGATTGCCTTGCGGCAATTAAACTGGTACAGAGTTTCCAAATTAGAAACAATGATAATTATAATTTTGTTTTTCAGCTACAAAGCTTTTAATAGCTGGAAATTGGAGAGAAAATAACCCCAGAACCTGGTTACAACTAAAAAACCAAGTCTTATATCAACTCCGAATGGAGAAAGGTTTAAGATGGATAAATTATTCCACCATTACCCAAAGTAATGATGCCCAAAAGTGGTGGGAGTATCTTAAAAAAATTATAACTTTTTAAAATCTTTAACCATTCCTCTTCATTTACCAGGACATGTCCTTCTTGTGGTCTGCAAATTGTATCGCTTTGTACAAGGGCAAAAATGTGTTAAACTAAACAATAACATATTGAGCATTGTTTGTGTATATGTATTGTTATGATTTTGTAAAAAAAAATGAAAAATGTAATAAAGATTATATATATATATATATATATATATATATAAAGGCATAGAGCAGAACTAGTGTAGCCTAGGATCTCAAGCGTTTACAGGAACTGGTTTCTTGGCTCTAGGCATATGTCACTGGATCATTCAGGTTACAGTTCCCTTTACTTGCGTTGCTGCCCTCGTGTTTAGCATCGCTGGAAGTTTAAGTTGTCTCAGGAATGCCTCTGCCTCTCCAGAGGAGGTCAGTGTCAGAGTGGTATCTCCATGCTATATGGTCAGGGAGCAGTCTTCTCCCAAGCGGTATTTCACAGCATGACCCTGTTGGTGGCCAGCCATGGGAGCCAGCAGCTTTCTTTCTAGCAGAACGGAAAATGGCAAGTCTCTGTATATTACTACTATGCAGCCCTCGAACTGAATGTTTTCCAAGACTCTAGAGCGGGTCAGGACGGCAGACATTCCTGGTGACAACAATAGTGTCTCTGGGAGCTCCTGCTGGTGCCGTTGTGGCCCTGCGGACTCTGAATGCTGAGGTCAGTAGTGTGGGGTCAGTTCCCCCCTTGAGGCCCATTGTGGTGATTTACCTCCAGATAAAGGGCAGCAATGCCTCCTCCCCTATGTTCTCTGGGATAACATGGAGGCGGATTGTCCTGTTAAGCCTCTGTACTTGTGGGCTAAGCCCTCTTCCTGGCTTTTGGTGGTTTGTAGCATGGCATCCCAGGTGTTCTCCCTGAAATCCACCGCTTGTACCTTCTGGCGGAGGATGCCCATCTACTCCTGAGTCTCTTTTAGGTCGGCCTTCCACACTTTTCGCAGGTCATTTTTAATATCTCTTTTTATAGAAGGAGAGGAGTCTTTATCTGACTCTGCCTCCTTGGGAGTCTTCTCCCGGTCCCGGGGAGGTGAGTATTTCCTCCTCTTCGTATGACTCTTCTGAGGCTTCTTCCTCCTCTCGAGGTTTTGGTGCCATTTTAGGAGGCGGTAGCGGTGTAGGTCGCTCGAATGAGAGCCTTATGTCTGGCATTCTTGGGCTCTCCAAGCCTCTAAACATTCGATTCTTGCACCCCATATTGTTATCTTGTGGGGGGTGTCGGGTATTTGTCTCCCCAAAATCTAGATGCTTTAAAAAGTGTATTTTGTCTGTGTCTGGTACAGGGCTCAGAGGAGATGCGTCTCTTTTTCAGCTCGGTCAGCCACACCCCCAAATGTCTTGCTCTTAGTTTT